ACGTAGAACCCGCAGATGAACCCGATAGAACCAGGAGATAGAACCCAAGGACCCGAGATAGAACCCGAGTAAAACGATAGAAACCGGAGATAGAACCCGAGATAAGAACCGATAACCCGAGAATAGAACCCGAGATAAAAGATACCAGGCGAGAAAGTAGAACCCGAGAAGAACCCGAGATAGAAACCGAGATAGCACCCGAGATAGAACCCGAGATAGAACCCGAGATAGAACCCGAGATAGAACCCGAGATAGAACCAGAGGCAGAACTAGAGGCAGACCTAGAGGCAGACCTAGAGGCAGAACTAGAGGCAGACCTAGAGGCAGACCTAGAGGCAGACCTAGAAGCAGACCTAGAAACAGACCTAGAAGCAGAACTAGAAGCAGAACTAGAAGAAGAACTAGAAGCAGAACTAGAAGCAGAACTAGAAGCAGAACTAGAAGCAGAACTAGAAGCAGAACTAGAGGCAGAAGTAGACGTAGAAGTAGTAGACACTATACTACCTAATTTGCATGAAGAATATTAAAACGTTTCGTATGTTTTGACGATTAGCTCAATTCTCATTTCTTACCGCCTTTTCGAAAACTAGGCACACTAGATTTCGTTCATAGCAATTGTGACCAATCAGGAAAGCCATGTGAAAGATTATATTTTCTAAAAAGAATTTTGAGCATCTTCAGTCAGACGAAAGAGACTTTTTGTTGTAGGGAGTATCAAAAGTAAAAAAAAATTATCCACTTAATAAATTAATATTACTTTCCTTTTGGATGATCGGTATAGTCTAATTGTATAGAAACAGTTGTGCAGCAGAAAATATTTTACTTGGGATTTAAACTTATCGAATTTCATCGTTTAATGTCATCTGTAAGATAATGTACATGTATTGTATGTGAATGTTTTGCAGTGAGCTGTTAGTACTGTTGACTGATAAGTATGATTACAACATCGAGTGATGTAGTTAGGGATATCAGCGTCTGCTAATAATATATCCCATCCCTTTAGTAATTAATTTTTGGCCAAAACCACTGATTCATGTATGAAGAGAGAAGGTAATGGTAAGATACCTAGATTGATAAAGAGAGGCTTTCTAGAATCACGTGGGTGGCAATTGCTTATTATTCATACAATTCTTTTTTTGTAAACTAAATGCCTGGGAGCTATAATATGTATATCCCCAAATTATGTCATAACTCAGGTGGGAATGAACATTGTGAAATATACACAAGCGATGTGGTGACTGAATTTGAAAGAATTCTGAAAGCGTAGCGTAAAGAATTTAATTTAGTGTTCAATTCATTTAAATATACTTTCCATTGAAGGTTTGACTGAATAGAAATACCTAAAATTTTGTTACTTAACAAAAGTCAATGGCACACCGTTCATTTTCAATGGAGTACAGAGCTTTCATTTATTATGAAAAACTGCATTGAAACCGGTATCTTGTCATTTACTATTAATTTGTTATTACTGAACAAATTTGATATATCTGATATTGTTATATTTACGGTTTCTTTATTGCAAAGAATATTCGTATTAACCACAAAGAGAACCGTTCTTCCATTTCTAATTGTCGGGGGCATATCGATTACGTATAGTAAGTTGTCAATCTGAAAATGCGTCGTGTTTACTAAGAAAGGTTTCCATTCGTACGTAAAAAGTATCTCTAATATTTTTTGAAAAACCGACAAGAGAGAAATTGTCCGATAATTTTGAAAGGCGGCTTAATATTAGCTGTTTTAAAAATATCTGGAGAAATTCCTGTGCATTAATACATTAAATACGTGAGTTAACGGGTGTATAATGGCGGGCGCATAAGTCTAACAAATAATCCGTACATTCATCTCAACCTGCCAAATATTTTTTTGTCTACCGATTATTTTGAGAATTTAATCGGAAGAAAAAATCGTAACTTGTTTGTTTGTTATCCTGTCTAAAATCGTGACTTGTTTGTTTATTTTAAGTACTCTTGTCTATGAATTATATACATTGAATAAATAATGCTCCTGCAAATATTTTCGATCGTTAAATGAAGATTTGGTTTTTAGGACATGATAATGACATAAGTGAGCTAACCAAAACATTACAAGGAATCTGTTAATTGTAAGTTAATACGAGATTTATTTTGTGGAGCTTTGTACCACATTTTTTAATTTATTTTCTATGTTGGTGAACCTTCGATATGCAGACAAGCTATTAGGTGTGAGGCAATTTTGAATGTGAGAATAACAGTATCAAAAACTGTCGCATTAGCAAGATCAATGTCGGAAACTAAGAATGTATGGGAACAAAATGGTTAATTATATAATTCATAGAAACAGCACATTTCGGAAACGCAAACTTATTCCAGTCTTTTGTGAAAATAAATATCGATTTGATGCACATAACGTAACACTTTCTATGCAAACAATTGTATGAGTACACTCACCTCAATGTATGCCAATGCAGCAGAAAAGGATCAACGTTCATATTTCAATTTCCACAATTTTCTTTTATCGTGCATTGAAAATAGTAATGGAAGAAAGAATGGTAAAAATGCGATTTCTGTAATTACAATACCACAATTGAATTGCACAAATTTCAATAATTTAAAGAACAGAAACATAAGCAGAAACATGATAGAGTCAGCTGCGTAGTAAGCGGCCTCATAAGGAAAACTGCGTTAACAATGAAGGTAAAAATTCGACCAATGAAGAACAAACCTCGACTCATCAATGTCCCGCCTAAGTCACGAACAAGGAAAACGCCTCCCAGTATCACGTCACAATGCCTGCAATGCAGACTCACAGGCTGATAAAGAGCTGCTCTCGGAGCCCACCTCGAGGCGAGCTCTCGTGAGCAACGGAAGATTCACTATCCTGTATTCACAAGCGCATAATTAATCGGTTTTTTAAAGGAAGAAAATTGTAAAGGAAACAAAGAACATGAATTTGAGAAAAAATGTATTATCTAAAACGCGCATACCATTATGTGTTTAATATTGGCAACTACGCGTAAGTGAGGGGCCTCCACCAAAAAATTAATATGAACATTATTCAATTCTAAAAACAGTTTCACGTTTTCTTTTTATTTGCTCTTCAAAGGGTGTTGCATGGTTCATGAAATCGATCTGCAATGCGCGAGGGAATGGCGGTGAGTAAAAGCGAAAATCAATTGAATTACTTCTTAGTTTCAAAGACATATTGCTCGGTTCGAATCTCCTTCTTCTTGTAGCAATTCTTAGGGATTTAAATGCACATTTATGTTCGATTCTTTTCTTTTTCGGTCATTTTTTAAAAATTTTATTTCCTGATAACAATTGTGAAATAGAACATTTTCACTGAAGGGGTACAACAAGAAGAACAATTTCGACATTCGAAACGGAGTCAAACTATCTGAGAACACGTTAAAGCACAACTTCCTTGGGGATTTCAATACTAAAAGTATTTCTTTTTTGCATGTGAAAAGTTGGTTTTGTGCTGTAATTAATTTAAAATTAAATTTGTAAAAAAATTAATGTTACAAAATATCCGTATAATGACATTCTATATTTTTTTGCAATACCAAGTAGTCTGCATCTTTTCTTCTGTGCATTCAGGCATAAGATAGAATGTCAAGTAGAATATTAGAATCAAGTGATATGCTATCTGCATTTCTTTCAAAGCCTATTTCTGCAATTCCATATTCAGGAACTTTAACGAGAAAAAGAAACTGCCAGCTTCCTGGCTTTCTTCAATTTAGATTTTCTAAAATGAATTTGAACATTAAAAGATTGAATGATCCATCTCCTCTATATGCAAGTGTCCCACCAGCTACTGGCCACCCCAATAACTTCTAGTCGGTTCAGAATATCGAATTGCAGTTTTTCTTGAACAGTGTGGAATAATGGGGCATGTAACATATCTTAGAGAAATTGTATACAACATTTTTAGTTTTCAAGAAATTTAATCATCTTTGAATTTTTCGTGGAACTATATATTTTTTTCACGAGCAGTGGTTAGATCATGAAAATAGGAATAAAAATATGTATCATATGTTGGTACTTTGATAGTAATTTCAGTATAAAATTAGACTTTCTGACAAGTGATTTTTAATTAAACGGACAATATTTCGTGTAGCAGCCCTTACAACTGTCGCCTTCGGAGCAAGCCTTCGCGGCGAATGGAATTGCGCGAAGGGAAACAGAGGGGAGGGATAAGGGGCAATCCATGGTCTTCACACTGAGGCCACACTAAGAAACACCAATTTGAACGATCACAATGAGAATTTCTTTTCATTGATTCATCTGGATTTAACTTGTCTTCTACTGAAATTCCAAACGTTTATCATTCCAAAGAACGATATAAAAATTGGTAGCGTTAAGAAGATGACGATAATAAATATAATTTTCAAACTTGAAAAGAATCCAACCACCTTCGTTAGTAAATTTCATTTTTAATTAAGATGATCACTCGTCCACTTCGCAATCATACGACTACTGCTGCGCATAAACGCAATAGAAACGGGAGACGGCGGTCTTCTGTCAAGGATTTTCAAGTTTGTGGCAGCACGTGGCGCTATGAAGTGAAAAGCTCTCCAATCACTATTAGCAGTCACGACTGTAGATGCCCATTTTTATTAGTTTGATAAATCTACACTGTTTAAACCGTCAAGAGTATTTCAAAATGTTTTTACTGTGTTTTTTGGTACATGTTTAAATAGGAAGTTTATTAACAGTAAATAAGAAAAAAAATGTCTACCTATCTATTATTTAATGAATTAGTACAATGAAAATCTTTAAGCATTCATTCCGTTCCCATGATTTAAAATGATGGCTTGTTTCTTCCATAACACAATGAGCTCGATTCTTGTAAGTTTGAAAATGACCTTTATTATTATCGTTCTTCCAATACATTTTTTTTGTTCTTTCAGTAGAAGAAAAGTTCAATTCAGATTAGCATTGGGAAAAAATATCTCATTTTGATCGTTAAAATTGATGTTTGTTTATATGTTCTTCGTGTCAAGAGCATGAATTGCTGTGCCTCTATCCTTCACGGCCACCCCGCTCAGTATCTCTAGCGAAGTATCGACTCGGGAAGGCTACCTTCCCCAGCGGAATCTGTTGCTACACGGAGCTGGGCTATAGGGCTGCTACACAAGTCCGTTTACTTAAAAATTACACGTCAGAAAGTTACGTTTTATACTCAAATTACTACCAAATACTAACATATAATACATCATTTTATTTCTTCTTTTCATGATCTATCCATTGCTGGGAAGGAAAATACAGTGGCCCACTTTAATATTCGGATACCCAGATATACTCCTGAAATTTCAAGTTCTGCGATATTTTGACTGTTGTAGGAAATAAATATATGCAAGCAAGTGCAACAGAATTGTTCCTTTATTAACGGATAACAGTCAAAACAAAACAAAAATGATGAATGTAGTTGACGCATTCAATAAAAAAGAAAACAAAAAAATTGCCTGGATTCATTAGCCACAGTAATATTCGGACACGCGAAATGAAAAATAATACAAATGTATAAATAAATAAACTAAAAGAAAATTAATACTTTGTATCAAAACCATTGTTGTCAATGACTTGCTGCAATTGCTTTGGGATTGAACAAAGATCCTGTTCAGGTACTGTTGTCCAATTTGTGTTCATTTTTTACATGATTATCTTTTGCAGATGAGACTTTTATGTAATTGGTATTCTCCTGATTGTACATTCCAATTCATGCCATACATTGCACTGAGGTCAGGAGACTCAGACTTCCAGCACTATTGGACAATTGTGTGTCAGCAGATTTGTGTAAATTATCTTTCCGTATGTTCAGATTATGATGTTAGTCCATTTTGTCTTTAATAAACGCCTGCTCCCCCACGCCTGTAGCTGATGCGCAGCTCCACCACCATTACGTGCCCACCTCCGTATTTCACAGTTGGCACTAGATTTTTAGAATGCAAATCCGTATTTGCTTTACACCGTATCATTTTCCTACCGTCACTTCCAAAAATAATAAACTTTTTTTTATCTACAAATATTACCTCACGCGACCACTCCTCTGATTTCGTCACATATTCCTTTGCCAACTGAAGTCGTTTAGCTCTATTCCCAGCACCGATAAAGGGTTTCTTCCTGGCCGCTCTGCTGTGATATCCGGCACTCCTAATTACTTCGCGCACTGTGTCGGGTTGCATAGATGTCCCTGACGCTTCGTGCAGTTCCGCTGCCAGTTGCACGACACTTACCTCCGGATTTTCTCGTTCTTTCCTCAAAAACGCACGCTGCTCTCTTTCGCGGATCTCCTTACGTTGTCCTTGTTGCGGTTTAGATTCAATTCTGTGTTCTTTCTCAAATATATAAATGATATTGTGCACCGTGCTTTTGCTCATGAGTAAACGATTTTCGATCTCCCTGCGGGAGCGTGCTTTTGTGTGGTGGAAAACCACAAGCTGCCTCTGTTCGAACGTCGAGTTCTTTCCCTTGCGCCCCATTGCAACAGGTGTTTCCAGGCGGAAACATTTATGGCGACTGGCGGCGGCTGCAGTTTCGTTTCTCCAGGGTAGGAGAGGGTGCGCTATTTAGGATTGGCGAGGGGGTAACAGAACATTTTTCATTACGGGTCTGAATATTAATGTGACTTCGTATTGCATATTCATACAGAAATCCGTGTTTATGAAACGTATGTTGTGCATCAGAAACTTTTCTTTGTATTGTTATGTTTTCTAAAAATAAAACACACCGTTCCTTTGCATTTTCTCACATGTAACTTCCGCGCACGTGCTAAAAATTACAGTCAATCAAGATATGCCTTAATTATATGTTGCTGTCCGAATATTAATGTTATCCATTAAATATAGTTTGATTTGCAACATTAAAGATGATTTAACTTTTCAAAATATAATATAGACCATTTCTGTAAGGCATTCTACTTGCCCCATGTTTTCGCATTGTTAAGCGAAAACTGCCTTTCGATATCGCGAACCGTTTACAAGTAATGGGGGTGGCCCATAATTGGTGGGACATTCTATTCTAATGTGCAAAGGAAAGATGTCAAATTATAAAACATCATGGACACAAAACTAAATATGTTACTGGTTGATATGGAATTTCCCCTCAGAGTTGTATCAACCAGATCTAAAACGAAAAACAGCAGATTGTGACAGATTTTTTATCAGGCGCACATGGAACCCGCAAAATGCATGACGCCGCAACGAACTTAACCATCATATATAACTCGAAAACGGTGCAACTTAGAGCTCTAAAACAAATTTTTTGTCTTCCACAAGTTGTGTTTTCTCTACCACAGTCTACAGATATGATATTTTTGGATGTTTTATTGCATTTTTTCATGGTTCCGTTTGGTTACATAGCACGTTAACCGGATACGAAGCGACAAAATCGGTTTCATAGACATATTAACTCAGCACAGCTATACGAATGGCAGAACATCACCATTCTTCATTCCAGAAAAAAATCACATACGTATCATTATCGATATCCCACATACAATCGACAAACCTGGTATCAAAAGCTTGCATTCAACATAAAACTAGTGAACGAAACAACTGTACACACTTTCTCGCAATATTATTATACTTTATACTACATGAATCTGCAGAGGTACATCCAAACAGCAAACATTTCTTTCTCGAGCAAGAAGAAATACATTTTCAAAAACCTTCTCAGACCTTAAAAAATTGATTTATTATTTTTAACTATCTCAAGCTAGAACCCTCGTTGGATAGGATATTCAACTGTACTTTACACTACATCAAATTTAATTTACATTGTAAAAAATGTATCTAAAATGACAATTTATGGGTTTATTTTATACTTTCACTTTAATAAAAAAACAAATTATCAGCACTTTAAATTTTTAGAGCGAGCGGTTATAGATGTACGAAGTGTTGCCTACATTCAGGAGCTGTCGGAAATATTGCCTTCGTCAACTATGGTTCCCTGCATTATTTTATAGTAAACGCATTTCATAATTACTTTCAGTTTGAAATTGCAAAATCATGATAATTTTGTAAGATTGAATTTTCGTACTAAGTTTGCTACTAAAGACTTTTGTAGTAAACGTATAATACTGAATCATTTTTAACAATGTTTTAGAGTTGGTTACATAGCTTTTACTTTTTAATAGTGGACATGTTTTCCCAATCGAGATTTTGAGACTTCGTCAGACGTGCTTCATTAATATTAAGTTTTTATTTGTTTTCTTATTCGTTTCTTATTCTTTTTGTATTGTAGAAAGCATAGTTAAAAGTAACTCACTTTAATCCACCTTTGTATTACATTTTTAGGATAAAAATAATAATTTTTAATTAAACACTAATATGTTTAAATATGAATAGTATTAGAATGTATTTTTCTTGTACAATGAGTTTATAGAAAAGAGAATAAATGCATTCTGTGAATTATCATTTTCTTTAAATTTCATTAATTTATCATTAGAGGCAAAAAATATTAAAATAGAAGTGGGAAGGATATATCAGCCGACTTGTCCCGGAAAGGGACAAAGGGACACTCAGTCACCACCCAGTGGGTTGGAGATGGAAATGTGTAGGAAGACAAAGAAAACTGTGTCAAGATTAATTTGTTAATGAAATAGGTAATTTATGGAACCGCATAGCTAGAGAGAGTAAAATGGAAAGAAGTGACGACGGAAAGTCTTGAAAGAACAAATTTGTAAATATGTGAACACATATATATTGCAGCCGATCACATCAATCTTCCTGCGGCGGGCCGGGCATTCAGCAACTCTCGAGATCAGTCTCATTAACTCTAAGTGAGTGCAGCTCAGCGCGTTACCTCATGCGTCCGACGGTTCATCGCCGATCCGCTCTCGGATCTGTCGAGTTGATTTGGTTTACTTTTATTTCTGGTAGTTCACGTTTGGGAAAACGGACTTGAAGGAACATGGGCAAGTTTACGACAAATGACAAGATCGAAAGTTGATGTTTTTTTACATAAAAATCATATATTCTTTCCAAAAAATAACGTAACAATGAGATGTTTGAAAACAAGTAAGAACATCACGTGTACATGAATGACGCTGGACGCTGACGTCACAGCCACAAATTATGATTCTACAAAAAAGGCGTTCCTGTATTATCTCGCCTTTGAATTTACATTTACAATAACAGTGCTATTCTAGGCTATCTGCTGGTGCAACCTCTAAGGAATCTAGTCTTAATGACCTAGTTCTAAGACTAACTCCTTTAATTATAAAAAAAGAAATAAACACCTTTATGCGCTCATCATGATTTACACTTCTAGTGAGACGCAATCTTTATAAATTACAATCAATGGCACAACCTTTTTAGTTGGCTCATTCCTGTCCAGTGGTAAATTGAATCATTTACCACTGGCTTCGTTAAAGCTACTATTTCGTGATCTACATTTGTTAACTTTATTTACACATTTATTTATTGCTCTTGCTTTTGCCTACACGGGTACTCACGCTCCTGCATTTGGCATTGACGGATGGACCTCGCTGTCGCCGCCTCGAAAATCTCACGTCGGCAGCCGACCCTTTCCTCCAGTAACCTTGTCTGCTCGCGGAAGCGCCCTGGCTCGCCGCGCATCCGACTCGTCGGCTGGCGGCACCTCGCCGAAGACTGCCCGTGACCTCGGTGTTGAAACGTCGAAATCGCAACCAAGGCACGATGCCGGGCGGCTAGGCTCCGCGTTGAGTTCGCCACTTATCGCTTTCAGATGCTCGTATCTCGCTCCGTTTAACCTCGACCTTTTCTTCGGAGCGCATTGTTTTGGAACTGCTCGTGCTGGAGTTTCGTCGCAGTTATCGAATGAGGTGTTTAAAAGCAGTTCGTGGTGCGTCTGATTACACTCCAACGAACACTTTTGATCAACCGATTTGCTCCTTCAAAAAAAGAAACGGAAGCAGTTGATGTGATTCCGCTCACAAAATACAGGGAATTACTCTAACGTAGACTTTTAACAGTACTTCCGCTCGCGGAAAATTTCGGTAGAATTAGCTCTTCCTATCACGACAAGAAGCTCTTCCTCTTCTTTCTTTAGCTCTTCCTCGCAAGAAAAATTTTAGCAGAATGAGTTCCGCAACGGACAAAAGTATTCGGCGCTGTTTCCCTCGCTTCTCGCCTTCTTGATCAATTGCAACTTGCAGTTCCTTATCTTGATATCGTAAATTTGTTATTGGTCACCTGCAGTTTCGCCTCGCTTGACAACCGCTGACGTCAGACCGTGACGTCGTCGCCCGCTACATTCAAATTCGCGCACGTAGACCACGAAATTTGTTTTGGGGTGCTTATATTTGAACCCGCCTCAATATATATGTAAATAGAAGTGTTAATAGTTTTTTCACGTTTCTTGCATTTTACGTTAAGTGTGAAACGTGTTAATGAGTTTAGCAAACTACTATTTAACAGTGAAAATAGCACTTCAGAAAAATTCACAGGTAATCTATATATATGTTCACAACAGAATTGATATGTAGGAAAAACAATTTAACTTCGCCAGTTTGTAGTTGACCTGGTAAGTTCAATTGTAAGCTACCCCACCAGAGAGTGGTAGGCTTTTCCTCTGAATAGAAATGATATAGCTTTAATAATAATAATAATAATAATAATAATAATAATAATAATAATAATAATAATAATACATATTATTATTATCATTATCGAAATAATTGATTAAAATATTTTTGTTAACTCTTAATTTTAAGTATGGTAGGTAATTCTAGAATATGATTAAGTTTACATAGTCTTCTCGAGTTTTATTGATATTTAATAATTGATTTGTAGTAAGTTAATAAATGAAATAACTAAAATACAATACTTAATTTTTATTTTAGCAAACTTTATTTTTAAATTCATTTCTGAATATTTTTTTCTTATTTCTAGATTAAATCCATCACTTATATTCTGTTTATTTAATAAGTTTACCAACGCAAATCGATATTGCATGCCTATATCTTATTTTGATTTTCATGGGACGAAAAAGTATAATTTAATTCATTACCCAAAATATCAAAACGTATCATAATTAAAAACATCAAACAAAAAGGTTTTATTTAAACAATTCTCTAGTTAAAAGTTGGTGATTTAAATAACTGATTTATAACATTTATATTTTGCTATCTTGGAAATGGATGAGACTTCATTTCATAATTTATGTAAGCTCAGTTATATGAAACACGTGAAGTTCCTCATGTGTACATATAATTTTCGTGTATATCAATTACCGGTCTATCGCAAAATAACACAATCGTTTCGCCAATGATAATTTAAGTAAATGCGCGAACTCGTACGTAACACACTTTGTATAACTAAAAAAAAAAAACAATTTAAAGGTAATAATTGTATTGTTCCTTACGCGGAGAATTTGTGCTGACCTCGGAAGCCTACTGCATTACTCAAACTTTACTAAAACACAAATCTCATCTTTTATTTGATCTAAAATGGGTTCATAGCTTCTAATCTTTCAGATCTATTCTTGTTTGAGATACTACATGGCTGACATCAATAATGTTAGTTTCAATGTGGCGAATTCAAGAGATCTGTTGGTGGCTGCTAGGGCAGCCTTGAGGGTCCACGAGAAGTGCAAACGTAGTGGACGCGTGGGTGAGTAAAAGCTCCGGCCTCGCACTCACCTGGCATTTCTTGTTAGCACTCGGACTCTTGTCACACTTGCTTCTTCAAATTGACGTCAATATCTTTGACGACACGAACGAACTGCGAGAATCGCCCACAGGACCACGATAATGAAGTAAGGTATGGTCGACCTTTTACTGTGAACGTAGTTTGCACTCCAAACTCTAAAGTGCAATCAAGTGCTGATTACAGTCATTAGTGAATACATTTTTTCTCTCTTCAAGAAGCACTCATCGTTATTAGCCTTTTGGACGTTTTCTCTGTTGTTGCCGGCCACCCTCTAATTAATGCCAATATATTTATGGTTCAACGAATAATTTTTACGTTTTCATGATTACTACTTCAGTTACGAGTGTAGAATCAATAACAATGTTATTTACATGAATCTCTACAAAATGAGGGGAAAAAACATAAACCCTCCCTCTAATCACTTCTCAGCGACATCGAAATGTAGTTTTTGCCCAACAATAATGAATCACGTGGTAAGAAATATTCCGTAGAGATATTTTCGTTTTTAGAGACGTTGAAACATCTTTCATTTTTCAAATGGAACTACTATACTTTTTTGCTTCAATAGATAAATCATAAATAAAGAAATACAATGAGTTTACTATTTTGAAAGTTATATTGGAGAAAATTATTTCTGACAAGCTATTTGACATTGCATGCAGTACTGATAATTTGCGGTCTGTGATGTTCATTTGGAACTCGTGGTCTTGTTCTTTCGGCGGTCGCAACCGAGACCCTTGGGAGGCTGGAGGGGGTCCAGCAAACAAGATCCTGATAGGGCCTCAGAAACAAACACAAACATCACATTACATAAAAATACAATAAGAGAATATTTTTACGTGCATTGATCTCGCAACTGAATTTCCGAATCGAGTTGCGGAAAGAACGATATCAAAAACACTGGAGAAAAATAAAAAAGGTCATGTTTAAACTTCCTACTTTCTCCTTAGTTCGTTGAGGGTTTGCAGTAAAGAATTTCATAAAATAAATAACAATTATCTCAAGTTTTATGTGACAAAACATTTCTCCGTTGGGTATATTCCTTGTAATACTTGAATTGTTTTAAAATGCCTCCTTTTTGATACCGCGGCCATTACAAAATGAGCTCTTTTCTTACTAAGTTTGCCTCTCTTTGCAACTCCTCTCAGCCCAAGAGTGGGAGCTTCGCGATTCGAATTAATGCGAAAGGAAAACAAACTCGCCTGCCCTTAATGCTGCGAGTATTGAGCGTCCCAGGAAAGGCTATTTAAACTGATAGACCAGTACGGCAAATAATACCAAATCACGAGGAAGCACATTATTTTACCCAATATTACTTTTAAAACATTATCAAATGTAACATTAGTTTCCTATTTTAAGACATATTTATCATAGATAAAAAACAACTAGAATTTAAAATTTAAATTCAAATTCGGCGCTGAGCAACGACTAGGGGGCACGTTTGTCACGAAAACTTGCGCGTGCATGTACTATCGAAATTCGGCTCCGCGGCATCCGTTTCAGAATGAGTCAACGACTCGCGGGCCGCGCCCATCTCCGCTCAGGGGCGACGTCCTCGGCCCACATACGGCGAGGCGGAAGGCCACGCACGACGACGCCGACGCGCATTTCTCTTTCACTCCGCCAAACCCGTGAATGAACGTACAACGGGTGAAGGATTTCTGTGGCTGAGCGAGCAGCTGACCGAGGAGAGGAGCTGGCCTCCGGGGGCACGTCCAAGACGACTCCAGCACTGGTGGTAACGGCAACATGTTGCTTTGTGTGGTGTTGCTATTTTGAGGCGAATAAATGGAAGAGACTGTTCCGTCACACGAAATACAAAACCCACTCTTTCAACGAACGAAATTTAGTGCAGTTATCTTCAAACCCCATGAACAATATACAAGGACTCCCATATTAAAATAAAATTTAAGGGGGGGGGGATATCAGAAAAGGGTCACAACACAAAATTGTGATTGAGCGTGTGTGGGTCTTATATGAAACAAAATACTGTTATTCAGTAGTCTTTACGAACAGAGAAATAACTTGTTCATTGGTGTGTTTAAAGGCAGTGCATTATGAATTAAATGAACAGACAGTTATGGAACTCAGACTGAATATTTTTAAAAAATAATGTAAAAGTTAATTACATCGTGGCACATTCCACTTTGTTTTTGGAATAATCATAATCTGGAATAATTTGGAATAGTAATTTCTCTTAGAAACAGGAATTGCGACTTCCAATTTTTACTGAAAACACACTTTCTCTTGGGCATTTTGTTGCTTTTTTTATTAAAATAAAATGTCCCAATTATCTCGAATACTGACTTAACACTCGCCACTAAACATGCAAACGGAAAGGAAAGACGCCAACCAACCAATAACCAATTCTAACCAACAGTTATTCAAGAAATTCAAAGATACATATTCAAAATAACACGTGGTGTAGATAGAATCCACGTCTGAGGGTCTTTGATACCGAAAAATCGATTGACGGCAAAATGTCCGTCCGTACAAAAAGACGCGTCTAACTATGCGTACGATTTCTTCCAAACTCTTAACTTCGGTTGATCTGGCGTGGGTCAAAGCCCTGCGATTTTAAAAAACATTCAGTAATTTTTGGGAGAAGTTTGAATTTTTCGGCGTCTTCCTACAACTACAAAATTGAAGATAGAGGTTTTTCTTTCATATATATTAAAAGTTGTTCTCCATAATTAGATCTTTCATTAGGGTCATGTACATTTTTTAAAATTTCAGTAGTTTTCCCGCAATATTTTTAATTAAAAACAAACAATATCTCCTCAAAAAAGCTCCAATTTTTTTCTTTAAGCACTTGGTAGGGATATTGCTAAATGTACACTGCAATATTACATAAACACCATATTGCTCAATTGTTTTCAAAAATTTAATTTTTTGACTAGCCTCTCACGTCGTTAATATTTACATGAGCGGCAATATCCTAGCATTATTGCTTTTACGAGGACATGTGCTTAAATTATGTCAAAGTTTCTGAAAACACAAAATCGTCTGTGAAAATGAGCTTAAAATTCTGCATTTTCAGAAAAGCTTAACGCCATTTACAAAGAAATGGCTTCAAAATGTGTGTACGTATAGTTCGAGTTGCACTGTTTAAGACGACTTAAAATTAATTTTGATGTACTCTTTTGTACGTTGTTTTGCATATCGTTAATATGCAAATTTCCAGCAATTTGTGAACACTAATCCATTTGTGAGTGGAAGTGCTTGAAAGAACTTCCAATAAAGGTTTTCGAAAATTCAAAAATTTTCAGAGGTAAAAGGTTCAAATTTCGCATTTACAGTAATAATGTGGCTCCAAAAAAGTTAACCTAGACCAAATAAATTAAAAAACTAACTAGTACGAGAAAGTCTGTTTGCATTTATTTATTTTTTTTTCAACTCTGTTAATAACACAGGTTGGTTATAATAGTTCAAAAAAATTTTGAACAAATGTAACTTTAAAAAGTTTGGAAGTTTTAATGAAAATTTGACCAATGACATGTCAATTGGGAAATTTCCAATTTTGTGAAGACCTGTATATGGTTACAGACACTAGTGCAGGAAGACATACTGAGAAAGAAAAAAATTGTGGTATAAAAGACCCACAAAATGTGTATTTTGACAAACATGCAAGAAAATATATTATAGAGGTTGGGGGAAACAAATTTTGACCAAAAAATTCACAGTGTTAATAAACAATGACTGTAACTCAAATACATGTTTGTTTGTTTGTGTGCATTTGTTATTATTAACATAAAAGTTATTTCAGATTTGAAAACTATTTTTAGTAGTCATTTACACACTTTCAAACATTATTTAATAAAACCTTAAATATAGGTAATTCAAACAGCAATACTTTACACTTAATATGCATTTCAACCTTCACAAAACATTAAAAATACAACAATTTTTAGAAAATTATTTTTATCCTTTAGACTGATGATGGTTGAATTAACCTGACACTTTGGAAACTTTATATAGCCTTAGGCAAAACCAATGAGGGCAATGGCAGTTGTTTTTATTGACCCTGAAAATAATGAAAACACAATACATAAAAATTGTTCAAAAAAGACATGTTTTGCAGTATTTTCAGAATTTTTTTTTATTTCTTTCAATACATGGCAACTATATATTAAACATATAATTTCAATATGCTTTTCACATTATGCGATTTGTGAATTGACAACATATTTAATTAAAAAATTTAAAACTTTTAAATTAAATTCAAGTCAAAGGTAACAAGAAAAAAAATTGCACAGAATACATTTAAAACATGTAATGACATTCCAACAAATTCCACATAATGGCAAGATATCTTTCTGGCAAACTTAAGACTACATTTGTGACTAGCCTGAAGATAGATTTTTCTAAATTTTAGAATCTTTAATACAAAGTAGTACACTCAATAGATTACGTGTGCATTATTGGGAAAGAACATTCTTACACAGAAAGTATGTAAAGAAAAACTATCATCCTGATCAACCAACTGCATCTTGATAAATTTTTTTATTCAATTTTCAAATTCATTGAGCAATTGCTTTGATAGCCCCTTACTTCACTTCTGGCCATAACTGTAGCTTACTATCTGTACACATTTTGTAGTATTTCCTGCTACTTGCAGGAGTAGGACAGGAAATTATTTCGTCAAGAATACTGAAAAATCAAACCTGTATTTCAATTGTCAAAGCAAATACATTTTCCATTACAGAGGTGTAAAAATTAATATTTTTAAATGTTGTAAACTATGCTCATAGGCACCTTCATTCATAATTAGATTACTTGTGATAAAAGAGAGAGGTAGGCATTCTGGAGTTCAAGAAGCACATTATACTTCTCCCCCACATGTCATAAGCAATTTTTATTGTTTTCTGACGATTGATAAAATAAAAAATAAAATTAATAGTCATATCTTCTAGGGTATTACATCAATACAAACTGAACTTCGATATTTTAACAGGCTCTTTCCTTAAAAAAGATCAACACTTGTTACGATTCAATAAACTTAATAATCACTTTATTTCCCAATCACAGTGATGATTATATCTTGCTATCTACAAATCACAGTTGTAGGCATATAAAGCATATAAAAATAAAGCACAATTATTATCCTCTCCAATTGTATATATTTATGCTCACTTCATGAAATTATGTATCTTGAGATTACATAGTAAAAAGCTCTGTTAATGGCTTCAAAACTCTTTTAATCACAATCAACAATACAAAAATATTCACCCCAATGTAGCAGTACCTAATGCAAAATATCTTTAAGACATTCTACTCGAAGAGATATTGTCTGTGGTTATTTGGTGAAAAAAGTATGCACATAACAAACATTAAATATCAATCTACAAATATTTGCATCAAAGCTATGAAGCATTTATACAAGCAGCAAAACAACAGGGAAACCAATACAATTTTTCCTGGGGATCTTGTGAGTCAAGCCAAGCTAGTCCTTCTTTCACCATATGATTTAAAGCTTTTTCAGCTCTTCCTGTCTCCCATTTAAGTTCTCGTTCCAACATAGAAACAGAAACATGAGCTTTACCACTATTTGCTGCCTGTGTTAAAACTGCTGTATGATCCATAGTAAGTTCTCCTGGTATAGACTGCACCACATACTGCCCTTTTCCTATTGGATAAACTGAAAAACCATTCCCAAATATTCTCAATTTCCGAGAAGCATTGAGAAGATCATCATTGGTAATATCCTGGTGCTGTTTACTTTTACCTCTGGCTTGTATCAGCCGTTGTCTTAATTCATCCAAACTTATTAAACCACCATTCTTATAACTAGTAGCTAGGCATACTTCCACTATTTGCACGCTCAATTCATAGTAAAAGTCGCCAATTCCTAGAACAGACCAAAATCCTTTTCCTGATGCAAGAGGATCCACGCCAATTGAAGCACACATTTCCTGAAACTGTCTACGAAACTGGGCATTTTTTTTTATCTCCTTCTTATGTTTTGTGGCAAATTCTTCTAGATTTGTTCTGAACACTTCCAGCTGTTTAGCCATTTGCTCGAATTGATTTTCCTGAAGCTCAGTACCCTTGTCACGATACTTTTCTTGTTCAAGTTTTTGTTTTTGAATCGCACCAATTCCTGCACGACGTCGCATTTTATCCAAGTAATATAGGCACGTGAATAAACTCCAATTACAAATTCTCAACACTAAGAGTTACAGAAACAATTAATACAGTAACACTCAGGACAATAGAGAAACTAGGGGTCCCAATACGAATCACCATTCCACAATTTCCATCAGCTGAAATATAAACAAAACACTATTGATGTCTGGTTGTCATTTCTCCTGACTGCTCCTGACTCCCAGGGTATCCAACGTTCGTACATGTAATTTTAGTGATAATTAAAAAGTAAACATTAATTTTTCATTTTTTACGAATGTTTCATTGATGACTTCTTGCAATATGATTGTGAATCTGCCTAAGAAGTAAATTAAGAAAACCTGAAAAATTGCGACATGCTATAATTTCCTGAGTAAATGAAATCCTTCAAAGAAGAGGATTAGGTTATGTCAACAACACTGCGATATTGCTAAAAAATAATCTCCGAAATACAGACTAAAACTTTGAACTGTCAACTTGAACGCTGTATACTGTGTTGCATTGTAAATTTTTTTCAATGGTAGGATAGTTCTTGCATCATGGATAATGCAGGAAATCCTCTTGTGTACATGGATATTCAAATAGGAGATGAAAGAGGTTAGCATTAAAAATTAAATTTTATTTGAGCTCTATTTTTAGTGTAAGAAGTTGCTTATTTAGTAGAAGTTCATGTCTTTATAGAAAAAATGTATATCACCATTTACTGTAGTAGATTGATGTATCAAATTTGCAAGATGTTCATTATTGCAGTTGGAAGAATAATTATAGAACTCTACAAAAATGTGGCTCCTAAGACTGCTGAAAATTTTCGAGCATTATGTACTGGAGAAAAAGGAGTGGGACAGCATGGGAAACCACTCCATTACAAAGGTTGTTTTTTCCACCGAATTTTACCCAGTTGCATGATCCAGGGAGGTGACATTATAAACTACGATGGAAGCAGTGGTGAAAGTATTTATGGTGGTTGTTTTGATGATGAAAATTTTGAAATTTTGGTACGTAATCTAAAATTTGTATTATTTTGTTTTGACAGAAACAAGTAGATTTTTAATAAGTTTTTGGTTTAGCATTTCGAAACAGGAATTGTAAGCATGGCAAATGCCGGGCCAAATACCAACAGTTCCCAGTTTGTCATTACTTTAAACCATTGCCCACAGTTAAACAATGTTAATGTGGCCTTTGGTAAAGTTATCAAAGGATATGGAGTTGTTAATGAACTAGGGAGCACTGAAATGGAAAATGATATACCCCTTAAGGTAAGACTATTTTGTTTTCATTAATATGTGAACATTGATCATATTTCCAAAGAGAAAATGTTTAATGCAGGCATGTTTTATTGCTGATTGTGGTGAAATTTTGCCTGGAAAAAGCCTTGGTTTGGAGGAGAATGATGGTACAGATGATACTGTGCCTCCTTTTCCAGAAGACTGGGACATTGATGTAAATACTGTTCAGGTGTGTAATGTCAGATTGGGGAATTTGTTGCAAAAATCTTCTTTGTAAATAATTGTGAAACATTTTCAGTGTGATTACTTAGAAGATATTATAACAAAAATAAAAAATGCAGGAAATTATTTCTACGATTCATTAAAGTACACTGATGCAGACCATAAATACAGGAAAGCATTACGCTACGTTAACTGGTAAGTGAAAATAATAATTTTTTCTGACAATTATAGATATCACATATTTTTACTGCATTTCTGAGTAGGGTTCGGAACCTTGGAGACCAAGAAAAACTTAATAAAATGTTGATGACTCATCAGACAGAACTACAGTGTTTATTGAACCTTGCTGCTGTGAAACTTCAAACAGATGTCTACCGCGATGCTGTAAATTACTGTAATATGGTAAATATCATCTCTTCTGCCCATTTACATGAACATATTTGATTACATATGAAATTGTATTTTTAAATTCAGAATTAATTGAGGACTTAACAGATCTAATAGTCAAAGCCTTATAATAAAACTAAATATTTTATTCTTGATGCTAGTATCTACATCAAATATCAATAAATATGAAGACTGCAATACTTCAACAAATCCATTATACAATTCATAGAAATAATAAACAGTGGACTTCACTTTAAAATTACAATTTGTAAGAGAAACGTAGAACATCTTTATGAAAATTTGGATCTAAACAGTTTTGTATATTTCTAAATTTTGATATTACTTTCAACATACTTTATCATTATCATCATCTTATTTATTGGATTTGGAAAATTTACATTATCATTGATTGAAACCATTATTTAAATAAAATGATTTTTTAACAATGATTGCAATCAACAAGTTTTTGCTTTTAATTTACTGTCTTTTGTGTTTCATCATTTATTTGCATAAAATGCACAAATTTATTATTGAACCCAAACAAGAGCACAAAGGTATTTTTTAATAATTATTAAACATTTAAAAAATGAGGTAACTTTGGATTATTGTAAATTAAATCAAGATAAAAAAAAGTACAACATCCTTTTTTAACTTGATTGCTAAATGATGCGTCATTTACACTGTATAATATTTTTATTATAAGTAAAAATGTATTTGTGACCATGAGTTAAAAGTAAAAATTGTCAGAATATTATATTTAATTATGTTATGTTATAATGATATAAGTCTTAATTAAGCAATTTATTCAACCACACATCCAAAAAGTATTTATTAATATTAATGTATTTTTGTGTAGGAAAAATTAGATTTGAATTTTTTTACATAAAATTTTTTAGATTTGATTAAAACACATCACACTGCTTATTTCAAGACATTCCAAAAGATTCGAGAGGAGAACATCCTCAGGTTGTTAAGATCACTTGAGTACAATGGACTATTTGAAATTTAATGTTGATAGAATATATATTATAAATGGAATATATATCCTAAAGAAATAAGACAATATTTTCATTCTTCAGGCATTGGCAATTGATGGCAAAAATGCTAAAGCTCTGTACCGGAGGGCCCAAGCAAAACGAGCCCTAGGGGATTATGATGCAGCCTTGGATGATCTTCGGACAGCTCTTCAAATTGCACCAAGTAATAAATCAATAGTTAGTGAAATGAATTTAGTCAAGCAGTTCATTCAGCGGTACCATGCCAAAGAGAAGAAAGTGTTTGAAAAGATGTTTAAATAATTTAGTTGAAGACTGACAAGTAGGCCAAAGTTTTTTTTTGTTTTTTGTTTTGGTGTAAATTGTTTGAGAAGAAACAACAAACAAAACAGTATTTTAAAACAAATTTTACAATTTTGTATATGATATATATATGTGTGTTGTTCCTATCAACATAACTGTGCTTTCATGCCTTGAACTTTTTGAAATAAGACTGAAGGAAGAAAAAGACTTACGCTAAGAAGTGTATTGGTTGAAAGCATATTTGTAAATATGATATTGTAATTTTGCCCATGAATGAATGAAAGATAGATACTTTAAGTAAAAATGTACATTTTGCTTAATATTTGGTAAACAGTCCAGAAATATGTAGGTGCAATGCGTTTTTTTTGCATTTATACTCTACTATTATGTTATGATTATGGCTAACATGTGAATGACAGATCTCCTTGGAACGGAATTGTAGCTTTATCCTCATTAATAATAACCTGTATCATAATTCCTTTAAATTAGAGGTTTTTCAAAATGTTTGATAAACTATCGTCTTTGTTGTGCTGTATAATATTGGGGGGGGGATTGATCAAAATAATTGATAGCAGTCATCATGGCAAATCATCATTGCAAAGGACAGTGGATAAATTTTGAGCATACATCAGTGTGGTTCAGAGACTGAAACCTTTTGGTGAGACAATAAAGGACTCTAAATTACTGATTAATACTGAACAGTTTGACTACAGATTAATTATGATGATTACCAAATTTGTGGTGGAATTAGTGTGCATACTACTGTAACTGATAATGTTAGTCAGAATGACTTTTGGCTCATAGTGGTAGATTTTCTAAAAGAACTTTCCATGCCAAAATTAAGTGTGCAATCAAACATTTTCTACCTTTTATTTCCATGTCAGGATTTTCAAAATAAAAAATTAATATTGTCTCTATTTTTTCATTTCTTCCACATTTTATTTATCAGAATTATCAACATCAAGGCCACTTTCTTAGAAGATAACAGACTCAATCTCTAAGAGGGTGGACAATATTATTTTTGAATGTGATTGGGCAACCAAGCATGACGCTCCTTTTAGGTTATAGATCTGTTTTTGACCCCAGTGATTCAAATTTTCTTGTTTAGGATATAACACTTGGCCAAAGTTCATTGAAATTACTTTTTTTTCATGATAGATGCTCTTGATCATTATAACATGAATGGGTTTTGAGTGAAGAATGCTCACCGATTTGACTGCAGTGACTCACTGATGTGACTGCAACCTAGACGTGAACAATATACCCATCACACAATTCCATTTTGTTCCGTTGACTTGTTGAAACTAATAAAAAAGAAAATTATAAAAATTCAACAGAAAGTTGTGTGATAAATTACATTGATCTTGACCTAGCCTCACGATTCTCCACAAATAAGTATGATAAATGCAACTGAACAATGTCATAGATAAAATCATTCCATTATTGAGTCTGCAAGTTAGCTTTATGAAATTGTGTTGTACATGAATTGAGCAACAAAAACAAATGAAAGACTTTATCATAATTAACTTATTTATGATCACAAAAAGGTACATTATCTCAAAACAATTCAAATACACATTAGGATTCTTCTAAGACTTTTCTTAAGATTATGAATTAAACAGTGTTGGATTGTAATACCTGAAGTAGAATTTTTGTGTTATAGAGGTAAGAAATGTATTTTGGGAATTTTTAATAAGAGGTTTGATTGAAAGTATTTTCAAAAGTTTATTTAGTTATGAATGTGAATATGGAACACATTTACATGTAACTAAAAATGTCTTTGATCAACAATGCTTTTAACCTCGACTTACAGAGATATTGGAAGTTAAGGGGTCCCTCAAAAGTAATTTCTTGTATTTGAAAGTAGACTTCCTTCCTTCCAGAAGTACAAGGCATTTTAAGTACTATACAAAAATGGGGAGAAACAACATAACATGATACTTTTTGTATTTTAATTGAGGGATCACATTAAATCTGTGCAATATAGCAAAAAATAATGTTCATATTTGAATTCAGCATGAAAAATTCTAATTGAGTCCAGTGCATTTTCCCCATAGATTAAAACAAAAGATTAATTTTGTTGACATTAATTTTAAAGTGGGGAAAAATAAGATTTGTAGTGAATAGAATTGGCACTTGTACTGAATAATATTTTTGGAATAAGTTTGAATTTCTTTTTGTAAAAGTAGAACTTAGCATCTTATGTATGTAGTATTTAATTCTTATGGCAATACTTATGCATTTTAACTGCATATTTCAGTTTTATTTAGTGTACATGAAAATGCTGCTATTTGTTCTGACTCCTTGTGCTGTATAAATAAATAATCAAACTGTTGTAATAGTTTTGATATCAATATACATAAACAAAATGTTCAAGCCAAGGAATACGTAATTTAAAACCAAAGTAATTTTCTGTTCCTCTGTTTTGTTGTTCCTATAAATGTTCATCTTTGTAACTTAAATTTCAGGATGGCTATTAGTGCATTTCAAGTGGTTCTAAACGGTGAGTGGCAAACTGCAACTGCCTTTCTTGGCAATACTAAAAAGTGTTACTGATGTCTATATGGCAAGAATATGACAAAGGTAGCATTGTATTATAAATTGAGTGCTCAAATACATTTTTTTGGAAGAATAACATAGGCCTGTTTTGATGCCTAAATGTATTTTCGTGTTTCTGAATTCAAATGTATATTTTGTATTGGCCATGCTGGTTTTTTCTATATGGGTTGAAATTTAAGATTTTGTAGAAATTTCTTATTTTTTACCACGATTTTAATTTTCTATCTGACCTGATACACTGTAGAGCAAAATGATATTTCAATTCCAAACTACTGAAAGTTGATAGTAAAATTCATGAAAATATAAATTTCTTTTTGGTCCTTCTTTTGAATCATCCTATTCCAATACCATCCAACTTGTTCAGAACTATCAGGTAAATGTAGCAAGGTTCCCCTTTTGGATGCTAACTTTCATTACAAAATTATTATTTTGTTATTCTCATTGAACCCTGAAAACATTGACAAAAATGTCTGGCTTAGGTGGCTCACGGTATCAACTGATGACATTGCGGAGCCTCTGAACCGGAGGTCCTAGAATTCATATTTCGGCAGTGGGAGGATTTTCGACAATTGCCTCAAAGCTAAGTTGACGTCAGCTTCTGTCTGCAGGAGAACCCTAGCAGGCGGCTGCTCTGATCAGTACTTTTCCGTGATTACTCTGATCAATATCAGGCAAAAGCCAGAGCAGAACTCTAACAAATGGGTCACTGACCACATGCTATCTTTCCTTCCTCTTCCTGGTCCTATCCTAGTAAATCAGGGTTAAAACATCCTAGAGATTTTCTCTTCTTAAAATCGTGATAAGATTAAATAAATTGGAACATCTGACGTATCTCATATGCTGTTCGCCAGTCATGTTGCACAGTGCACAACGATTCACAGAACAAACTCTAGTATGTAGCATATTCCGACTGATCAGAACATTTTACTCGCATTCCTTGACAAAGTGGTCTGTTGTAATTTACGACAAAGGTCAGGAGGGCGTTCCATCCCTAGGACACAAAGGGACCCAGCAGTAAAATTCGTTTCGCTGACATAAGGAAAAGCATTAGTGGAGTTCGTTTCACTGTTATCCATTCCTTCTAGAGACAGAGTGAACACGAGATAAAAATATTTCTTGAAACCCTATGCAGGCAGATGGTCCTTCTTTTTTTTGTTCTTCAGCAGTTGCATTAATGACTGTCCGAACACAATTTGTTAGAGCAGGAAGCGTGCGTCTGCATATTTAAAAAATATATTTTTTAGAACAATACGTGTACAATTTCCACTTTTTTCTTGCTTGCATTTTCTGTAAAATCAAACAAAAAATGTGTCTATATATTTTTCACTTTTTTATCTCATAGAGTTCATAAAAAAATTTTCATTCTTTACCAATAATTACAATTTTTAAATGAAATATTTATTTTTTGAAAAAGTTATTTACGGATTTTTTTAAAAAAAGCATTCAAATTAATAAATGAAATAAACTAGGAATTTTTGTATTCAGTACATTCGGAGCATCGATCAATCATATTTTGCAAAGTACGTGTGAATTCCAAAATTTAATAATGCCGTAACGACACAAATATTCAATTTGCAGGTAAATTCTATGCGTATACTTAAGTAATGCTTATGTTAACACATTGTGAACGAGTCTGCTTATGGACATAGGCCTAATTTTTATGTTAACACCATGCTTATGTTTATGTTTGCATTTTGAATAGGCCTTAAAGCTGCTAAATACTAGGTTTGCTGTTTCGCATATTCCAGCCTTCTACTAGAGTCGGCCGTGGTGGGACCTATTTTCAGCATAGGGAAAAAGCACAGAGCTAATGCCTTTATTATTAGACTGTGCATAGAACAACGTTTTTCCATGTCCTAACTTTCTGCGCTGTAAACTGGTGACTGGTTGCTGCAATAAAGGATCTTATGGTTGAAGCATAGGGTCAGAGTAAGTGCAGTAGTAATAGAGCAAATATGCAGAAGGTGCACTGCTCGGAAGAGACCTAGACGCCGGAAAGAGTGTTCTTTGGATTCAAAATGATTTCATATGCATCGATATGGCTGCAATATCTTGAAATTTTAGTGTCATTAAATGGAAAACAATAGAATTTTTCGATTACCACAAGGTTGTGCAACCTAACTGTCTCTGATGCGATAGGGAAGAGATTCTGGAGCTCAAAAAAGTGTGCAAATTAAATTTCTCCCCTATATATTGTTTACAGTTTGGTCTTTGTAAAAATAATTCAAATTAAATCAAGACTCATTCAGGTTTGTTCGGCTTGTGTAGCTGCCTCGCTAACAGTTGTTTCCAAAAAGGCAGGGTTGTCAGACCATTTTATTCTTCTGTTCTTAGAATTGTAACGCTTTATTATAAGAACAGAATCTGGTACTCAAAAATTTGACATCATGAACTCTTCCATCTTCCATTAGAAATAGTTGTTTGTTGTTTGTTTTTTTTTGTCCAGAGGCTGTCAAAGGTTTCCTTACATTCTCTAGTTAAACTTCTCACATTTCAACTTGAGCCAATGTGTACGACTTTCCCGCAGTGTTCCTCTTGCAACAAATTCCTTATTAGATAAAAATTTCAAAATTTCTATGACATGAAGAAATCATCAAAGAATATGTGGAGTATCAAGATCATCAAAGAATATCTTGTAGTGGGTCGGGTGTGACTTCTTGCAACTGAAAAAAATATTGTTGACAATGTCCAAATCCAACGTTTTTACATTCTAGCCCTTACGAATGTAAGAAGACAAAGTACGCACCGGAAAATGGCACATTTTTGACAAATCTATTGTGGGGCCCAGGAAACGAAAAAGTGGATAAATCATGTTCCAATATACAGTAAATTACTTTCTCTAACATGCGGTGTTGCCAAAATTCATGTCTTTGATACTGATAAATCAATTGAGACAAAATGTCTGTTGTCAATGCTAGGGCCTAAACCATTGAGCCAATTTTCTCCAAAATTGATATTCCCCAATCGATTGGAACAAACTCAAGGCTTTGGGAGATTCAATCGGATATTTTGATATTTGAGGATACTCGAGCCTTTAAAAAATTTTCTCAAAATGGCTTCAGATTTTTTGATTAAACTTTGCGCTCGGATAGCATGAAGGGCGTTTAAGAGAATGGTTGAAATCCCTTATTTTTCAAAAATTGCAAAAGTGCAATTATTTTGGCATCTTCCTCAAACTACAAAATTGAAGAGTTTTTTTCCACTAATGAAATCTGTACTTGAAAAATAGATTTTTAATATGCTGATGTTCAATTTTTTAATAATATAAGTAGTTGCTGTGCAATTTTTCTTTTTTTAAACTGCTCCAATTTTTTAAAACGTTACTCTCATTTTTATGAAGGGATAGTTAAAAATATTATGCTGGTCCCATTCTTGGCTAACTCTCCAATATTTTCGAAATTTGCAAAAAGTTGACATTTGAAAATTACAAAATTGAAGGTAGATATTTTTGCCTCTACAAATTCTGTTGTACAAGATCCACGCTTTGAACAAAGACACCTACATGGTGGCGTGTGGCGTTGGAGTAATGGTTAGCGTTTTGGACTGTTGTACCCAAGTTGGCGGGTTCAAACCCGATCAAAAAAATCCTTCGTACGCCTTCCTTCGGAGGGGAAGTAAAGCCGGCTGTCCCATGTTAGTAGATTTACTTGCATGTAAAAGATCCTCAAGCCTAAATGACGCCTCTGAGCTAAATTCAAGTTGCCTGTTTCTTGCCCAAGAAATACCTCTTTCCTCTGCTAGTTGGTGAAAGGAGTGTAACGAAATTTGCGTGGTCAGATGGAAGAGCAGGCCTAATGGCCTGAGTCTCGCCACGTAAAATAACGCAATTCAATTCAATACAATTGAAGAAACAAGTCTTCTTGTGTAATTTGGGATTGAAATTAATGTCCACTAACAGATGAAGGTACGCCTAAATAATGGTGCAGTTCCCATTCTTTTAATTTTCGTTAAGCTCCCTGAATTTTCAAAAATATGTATCGTTGTAGCACTACTAGTATCATTTGCCATGCTATATGGAACAAATATCTGAAGAATTTCAAATTCTTTAAAATTTTTATTCAAAATTTCCAAAAAGACCTCATTTTGCTAAACTTGACCTCTAATCTATTATTACCTTAGTCATGAAGGAACTTTTCTCTCCTGACATCTATTTCTAGTAATGGTTTCTCTCATAATTTTAAGTTACATGTCTTCATCTATACTTGAATACATTTTAATTTACGGCAGTGTATGATACCGAGTCAAAATTAGAATTCCAAGACAGTACCACAGTCCCATACAGGTAACATTGAAATTCTGACATTTTCATAATCTGAGAGTGTAAATCTTTGCCGAGATGCAATTCTGCCTTTAACTGGAAGTTTGGCTATTTCTTGCGAGATGCTCCAATGTATTCTCCAAGATGCATTTATCCATGCATCATTATATGTAAATAAGATAAAGAAAGACACCAGAGAAAAATTAAAATTAAACATTTTCATGTTGTGTATTGTTGTGTATTTTTCAACTCCGAAGCTACCAATGAAGAGTGTTTAATATTAGTTTATTGGTGATTTCCTCCATAAATATGTTACATGTTAATGTATTTTGTTAATTATAATAAAGACATGTAATTAACTACTTTTAGGGCAGAAATATCAATATCACAAGTCAATATTTTTTTGTGCCCAGATCTATTTTGGCTTAAACAGTTTTTACTGTATATAGTCCGCATTGCATTCAGAATTGTGTGAAAACAACTTCATCAGCCATACCAAACGAGGAATATCAATTTTAGTAAAAACCTTGTGAATGTTTTAGCTGCTAGCATTATACATACAGACAGACTGGCCAGCAGACATTTGGACAAATTTTTAAGTACCATGGACCCATAATCTCTATACAATGAAGAGAAGTACAAAGAAAGTAAAAATTCAATTTAAAAATTGTGCATCAAAATCAGACATTCATCTCATAATTAAAAACCTCTGTAATTCAGAGTAGAGCGAAATTGTTTAATAAAATAAAATAAAATGAAGTAGTAGATGTAGTAGTAGAAATAGTAGAGACAGAAGTAAACTAATCAAGTACAAGAGGAAAAAAAGTAGTAGTTGAAGTAGAATTTATTCAAAGAGTTTTACCAAATTTCCAAACAAATCCAACATGGTTGCAACATTAATTTCTTCAATATGTCAGCAATTAAAATCAATATTTTGATTTTTGTTATTAGTCTTGTACATTACTAGTTATTATATTTTACCGATCCTTTTTTTATATTTATTTTACGTAAATGCTAATCATTAGTTGGGCTTTATTTGTGTACATTATTAATCTAATTTGTTCTCCGATATTGTATACTTCTCTTATTTGTGTCAAATAATGTTTTTTTATTTGTGGTTAGTATATGATAAGATACATGAAGGGAAGGATCCTGTAAGAATTAATGGATAAAAATAAATAAATGACCGCCATCAACTCTTGTGGTTTCCTAGGTCAATGGAATGGGACATACAGGATAGGTGATGAAGTCATTTCTCAGTACTAAGGATAGGAATCGGAATATGATAGGGAAGGAAGGATTGCACATGGTCCATGACCTGTTCTCTAGGGTGATGCTCCAGCATTCACCCTGGAGCAAGGAAAACCACTGATTAAAGCTGTCTGACTATGATTTTGCTATTGGCTGGGGCCCCAAATATCAGGGGTCAGGGGTTACTACCTCATCAGTAGAGCATTAATACTGTGAGATGTTTCAAGCCTCGTCACAACTAGAGTTGGTCACTAATATTACTGTTATCAATAATTTTAATAAACTTAAGCTTCCAAATTGGTAAAATGCTTTTTAAAACTATTACTGAAACTCTTGTGAATATTCAGCAAATAAAACAGGCAACAAGCAACTTCAAAACTATATCTATTCTTTGGGATTCGAGAGCATCAACTTGCCCTAGTGCTTTCTCAGGTAAATTATACAAAGAGCAGCCCCCACCCAGCGACTAGAGAGGTCTGCTGTGATTGGCTTTGCTAGCTTTTATTTTTATTCTGGAGAACATAAATGGCTGATTTTCGTCACATGTTAATCAAATGCTAAATACTTGAATTAGTCTTGGAAGAGCTGGAACTTGGAACTGATGCATTTGTTGCATCTATATACAACTATGAAGGTGAAGGCAATGGTACCTTCATCCTTGAGGACTGTAAATGTTTGGCACATGTAAAATCAATAAGATATTGTCCAACATGAACATGTGACAGCTACTATCTCCTGCAATATAATTGAAGGTACTTGAAAAATAGATACACAGGAAACATTGGGCATTTCTAACGCAATATTATATTTACAGATTAAATTTATTATAAACTACATAAAACTTTTGTCTTTACAATTATACAATTCATTTACAGCAGAAAACCAATACTATAAAGCATAATTCAAATAAGTTATCCACAAATGCATTAAAAAAATAAACACCCATGATATAAAAATGAATCAAAAAACTACAAAGAATAAGTTGTCCATCTGAAAATGTATACCTGTTGTGCTTCTGGTATTTCAAAGACCTTATCTGGTCTACCAGTCTAAGCTTCCCTTTTCAAGGTAGGCTTTCAATGGATTCTTTTAACTTCAGCTAGGCCATTTTAATGATCAAGTATTCTCATGTTGCCAGACACAATCTTGTTTTCCAACACAGAACCCGAAGGAATGTCAATTCTATCACCATGATTGGCAATGATGATAACTGTGCCCTGCACAAAAAAGTCAGCATTTTACTTGATATATTTTTAGTATTAATTTATTACTACCTTTTTATGAATATGGACAAACCTTGAGTGAAACATTTTTTCCAAAAGTAACATCTCCAGAAACTGTTAAATGATCCAATTCCATAAGATCTGGAATGTTTGCAAATCGAGAGAGGAACTCTTTAACCTGAAAATAGATAAGAACGGAATAAAATCTTTTTGTTTTTCCTTTTGGCATCCAAAAATTACAAATACACTTTGAATTCAATTAACCCAAAAGTAGGCAATGAGAAGCAGTATTGTAGAATAAAGTCAGAAAAGTCAAAAGAAGTAAACATCTCTATAAAGGACTGATATTATTTTTCAAATTCACTTCACAAATAAACTTAAGAAATGATGAAAAAATTGTTTTTCGCTCCTCAAAAAGAGAGGTGAAAATAATTCAATTACATACCTTAGCAAAATGATTATCACCCAACTTGATGAATGGAGTTGTAGGAAACATGCGCTCTGGACTCATTACTAAGGAGCCATGCTGGAGACTGTACAAATTACTCATTACAAGCAACAAATCTTGTGTCTTTTTGACAGGTAAGAACCTACTCCGGGGAACGTTAATGCCTGGAAAGAAGAGAGGTGTGAAAAACTACTTGAATTTGACTTTTGGAGTTTAGTCAACTATTATACACACCAAGTCCTCCGTCAAAGCACTTCATTGCAGCTCCCACAGCAGTTTCCAATTGAATAATATTAAGACCATTTTCCAATGATTTGTTGTTCACAATAACTTCCATATTAAGTGTGTTGTTATCCAAAACTCGTTTAATTGCTGAAAAAGAAATAAATACAATTAATATTTTATGAACTTGTTTCAATTGAGTATATTTCCATATTGGATTTCAATTTGACTTTCTTTTGTCCTGTAAGAACTTCACATAATAAGCACATACATATTTTTAAGACTAATACAAAAGAACAAAGTATAAATACAAACATTTTTTGCATAATTTAACATTTAGTCTGGATAACAATAATATTTTATTTGAATTTTACACATGCAATCTTGATCTGTTTTTTTATGTTATCATTAATTTGACTACATTATGAATACTGATGCAATATCAATGTAAATGGTTATGTGCAAAACACTTTTACAAGAATGATCTTGACTAAATATCAATGAGAAATAATGTTTTGCACAGAATGTATTGGCCTGATGTATAGAGCAAATATACTCAAGAACTGTACAATGTTTAGGTAGATATCTTTTGGGCAATGACAGCACATTGTGTGGGCATGACCTTGCATGCTTCCATTTACTCAGTGGTGCAAGTCATTCTGTGGATTCTACAGCTTAGGAAATTAGCATAATTTCTTTCAACCCACATTATCAATATCTCCCTCATTGCAGTGAACAAGGAACTAAAATGGATATATTGAAGTTGGAAATAAAGTGTGCTACTGGCTCTCATCTTTCAAAGATGGTGATGCTATGACATTCACTTTGAAGCAATTTTTTCCCCCCTACAATCCATAGGCCAAATATTAAAGAGTATCAAAATGCCACAACATGATACAATAATTACTTGCAGTCTCTTGGCAGCAACATCTCTCGATGTGCTTTGTGAGGTTTTTTGAAGGACAGAATAATGGTCACAGTGGTAGCCACCAGCTGCAGGGTCTGCTGCTTTAGTGTTGTGACACGGTGGGGTGTATCCCAACCAGTATGTATCACCCCAATACCCCATTCCTTCCCAGACCACACTCTGTCTGAATGTTGTATGAAGTGAGGAACAAATGTGATAGCCTGCATGCCAGTGAAAGAAAGCTCTGTAATGGATTTAAGGAGAGTGACATGAGTGCCACCTGGCCACTACCAAATCAATCTACTTTTCAAAGGGTTCATGTGCCGTCAGAGGCTTACGAGCCACAAGCCACAGGAATAGTGCTTAGCCACAATGGAAATACGAGCCACTGGGAAATTATGGAGACGTGACTAGATTGAAAGTAGTGAAAGGGCTAGAGTGAAAGGCAGTGTCAAGAAGCACCAGCTGACAACTGAAAGGTTAAGTTGATGTAAAATGCCTGGTGATGATGATGATGATGATGATGATGATTTCAAAATGTGGATCAGAGCATGATTTGTTTGAACCAGAAGTGGGGAGAGAGCATTTTCCATATTTTTGCATTTAGGTCTGTAATAGTGCATGGTGTGAATAAGTAATGTACAATTTACACTGAACCATACTCACCGTCTAATTTCATCCACAGGTTGTTAGTGTTGAAAAACTTGAAAGTTTTTACAGATTTGAAGTCATCAACATGTTCTTTGGGAACTTGAGCAATTTCCAGTAATCGCAATTTACCCTCATACTGAATAAGAGTTCCTCCCTTCACATCAGACCGTGTTTTATCTGTAACTTCCATTACAAATTCTGGTGCAGGTTCTCCAGACGATGGGTCCATTAAAAAGTTCAGGATGTTTAGATCTACTGTTGCTCCAAGGTTGTCAATATTGGATATAAAACAATATTCTCGCCCCTAGAAAAATAAAATTACTAAACAAATGTTTCGTAGTAATTTGTTTATGAGAATGACTCCACAATCAACACAATCTTCTATTATTGGTAAAAATAGTATAATATTCCATTATTTAAAAATTATCCTACAAAACTTTGTTCTAGTGCTTCATATAGCTTTATAATTAATAAACATTTGTAATTCCCTCATGATTAAGAAACAAAAAAATTCTGAAGGTCTAGACACACCTCTTCCAAGAATCTCCTTAATAAACCAGATTCTAGAAAGCTGTAGTAGAAATCTCCATGACCAGGAGGGTACCATCTGAAAACAAAAAAGGACTCTCTCTTAGCTCTTAGACTAGGTGTGATATTTCCCACAATGTAACAGAACCATGTTGATTTTACACTAAAATTTAACATGTTTTACATGATCAATTACAAAACACAGACAATCTTGCATAACTATGTTAGAATAGTTAATTTTGTTATTTTAATTTGACTCAAGTTTTCTTTCACAAAATTTTAGTATTAAAGTTTTGAATATTTATAAACCTAAATTTATAAGTTCTTCAGAGATCGTTTGAATAGGTACTTAATAGATACAGAAAATACTGAAGAATAAGAATACTTACGCATCCATATTTTCATTGACATTACATGTTTTTGGAACTGGCAACAGAGAGTCACGGTTTATGCGAGGATAGCAGCTTTGGTTGAAGGTATAGATTTCAACCTGAAGACCTTTATATTTACGAATAATTTTCTGAGTATCCTCATCAGTGTTAAAGGAGTTCATAAGAACCAATGGCACATTTGCTTTGTATGTTTTGTTTAAGTGCTGTGAAAAAAATACAATATGGTAGTTAACATTAACAATAATAAATGTCAAAACAATTAAAGACATTTCAGGTATTTCTAGATTACTTTATTAAAGAAAGATTTGTGCTTTAATAAACTGATTTACATATTTGTAATACTTTTCTCTACAATACATTCTATAGCAACATCATGTAAATAGTAGAGACCTCAATTTGTATCTTTTATTCATAACATTATCTTAATAATTGTATTAAAATTTCATTTTAATTTCCCTTCAAATAATATTATCACAATATATATCTATGATATTGACGAGTAAAATTAATATGAAACTAACATAAAAAATATTATTGTTTCGTTAATGGGAAAATAACCTTCACTGAAAGCTGCGCACGATATGATTTTTATAGAACAACAGTTAGTAGTATTACACGCGGTCAACAGCGTCCATACATATGCAACCCGCATTACAATGCAGTTGTACGGGAATTTTTATCCAAGAATCTAATGCAGTAAACCAATTTTTAATTGGATAATTCGATTCATTTTATTCCGTTCGAGTTTTCGAACGTTATGTTCAGATAAATCGAAGCCAGAACATTTAAGCTCCCCAAAGAAACATTACAAATCATGCACTGCAAGCGTCTTGTGCATTACTTAATCTACCCTTTCAAATTTAGGGATCAAGATTGTATCCTCGTGTCGTAGAAGCCTGCCGCCTAGGATAGGTACCAGTGTTTGACAGTCACCTGCAATTCTGCGTCGCGGTGATATGCTAACCAGACATGAATTTCTTAAGGTATAAGAAAATATGGAAATCGCTTGGGGGGGGGGGGCAAAAATCGGTCTGTAGGGGAATGGTCATATGGCTCGGCACAACAGACTTTTTGCTGCAGTTTCAATGGGAGGTGCTTGACCATCCACTCAATAGCCTGAATCCTGCCCTGAGGGACTTTTATCTTTCCTTACAGCTTAATAAATTCCTGTCGTGAACATTATGCGTATTACAATGACGCAGAGTCACAGGTGGCTGTCAAAAACAGGATATATCACAGGAGGCAGACTTCTAAGACACAGGGATACAAATATTGACCCCATAGTATAATATAGTACATCCTCAATTTTGGTGATAATAATGTGGCAGCATGTACTGTATCTGCTACAATATTTTTTTTTTCATGTAATTATGTTTTCTTTTGGATGACGATCACGGGAAACTTACTTCCTGGATACGCCTCATTTTTCTTTGCTTATTTTTCGTTATTTTCTGGGAGGAAAATTAAATGCAAATTATGCATAGGAGATTTTGGAATTTGTTAGTTTATTAATTAATGATTTATTATCTTTTTATTTAATAATTGTTGAGAATTATTTGCAAGAGTTAATGAGCTATTACAAAAAAAATCGTTGATAGAATAACATGCCAAAATATAGTAAACTTAAACAGAAATTTTAGAATATAATTCTATTTGTCTCAATAGATTTTCCACAATTTATTTAGAACTTAGGTTCATTTTCGAAAATAATTTTACGAAGAAATAAATTATCTACGAAAGCAAGTAAAACGTTATTTTTTACGGTAAATAATCTTCTCTTTTAAGATGATATTATGAGGTAGCACGTTCACGCTAATACACATCATTAAAGTAAATGCAGTTTTATGAAACTAAATCGGAAACATGTCCGTCAAGATACGAAAGAAAATAGAAATAAAGAGGCAGTTTTCAGTCAAAACTGTCATGCTTTTGTTATCATAGAACCGTTCGCAGAATCATCCTAAACGCCCTGGAAAGCCTTACCTCAATCTGTTGCACGGTGAGGTCGAGGAAGGTGAGGTCGGAGCGCACCGGGATGACGGACTTGGGCCCGTGGCAGCCCATGGAGGTGCCCAGACCGCCGTTCAGCTTCACCACCACCAGCTTCTCTAGCATGCAGCGCGCCAGGTCGGTAGAAGGCTGCACGAGTGAGTTGTAGTCGCACACCTACGCATGGAGAAGGCGAACTCAGTGGAGAGGCGAACTTGGACTTGGGGCATCACAATTTAATGTTAACATTAGGAAAACAATACAATTTAGCGTTTGGTATTTGAGTTCATATATGAGAAGGGCATAATAACCTGTAAGTAATATTATTTATTGTTTTTAACATATACTTATTTTACTGACTTTACCGTTCTACTGATCTCGAGATCTCGTAAAATTCCAAAAGATATATTATTACACAACGAAGATAAATGCATGAAGTGAAAATATTTCTAATTTAAATATAGGTGCATTTATGTTGTTTTTCACAAACACACTTCATGCAAATCAGTTTTAGCTTACAATTCTTACTAGTGATCTGAGATATTAAAAAATGAGATATTAGAGTGAACGTTTAAAATGTACAAAACAATCCTAATCGACGGATTGAAGTTTTGTTACAAGATAACGGAACAAGTGATTGATCACAAGTTCCTGAACCTTAGCCGCACTGAAATGACAATAAAGATTAAGAGTTTATCCAATCACAAACTTTACCATTCTTTAAATAACATTAATGAAGTACGATGAATCTACATAAAAATATTTCAAAAGCTAATCGTATCACCTTCTTTGTAATATTGTAGACATAATTATCTCCAATCCTGAAATTTGGATTTAATATTTCATTTACTTTATCACATAACATGTTAAATACTATTGGTTGTAAGAGTTCTAAAGCAATAGCGGGGAGATAATGACAAAGAAAACGATAGACCGGGAGCCAGCAAGAAAAATCGACGTATGATAAAAGCTAAATCTTTTTGAGACATTGAAGTGGGTTATGAGAAACAGGGAAACGCAACTATGGCAGTCTGTAGGTGTCAGCGTTGCACTGTACACGTTGTTTTAATGTGTCGAACAACACTATGCTGTTGGGAAACGAACAAGTAATTATTTTTGTATATTGTTCGTTAGATAGCCAAAGTGTGAAGGAGTTGTATTCCATACCGAAGTGGCTTCTCAAACTCTACGCCATATTGAATTCAAAGTGCCATATTTTTAATGCCCTCTTGTTCTACGAATTGAAAGATATTTTGCTCTAAAGCTAGAAAACTATTTGTCATTCCCGATTACGACCGCGCCATACCTTTCCATAAAATCATAGGTTAGCGCTGGAGAATAATTGTATAATCTGAACAATAAAAAATTGAAGTAAATGGTTGATTTGCAACGTATTATGACAAATTACGAACAATATAATATATAAAAAGAAATAATGTACGGCATTTTTATGTAGTACTTTTAGATTCATATGTAATATCTCTGAGATTAATCTTGAATATTTTCTGGGTTGGTTATCCAAAACTGTCAAAAAGGTCTCTTGAACAGACAAAGGAAATGTACTTTTTTGCCTTAATTGAATATGTTATTAACAGGCACAATTGCATCGCCGGTTACGGTGAAATATTATTTTTAATACTTTATTTCAAAACGATATAATTTTTTTTCCATTTACAGGTAAGTATGTAAATTTTAGGCTTACATCTGATAATGCGTATAAATATTACGAGGAAAGTCGCGCCCCACAATATGATTTTCGTTTTTGAAAACATTTAAACAAGAAAAAAAGATACAAATGTGTCAAATTATAGTCATAGAATTTACGCAATCTTTATTTTCCAAATATTAACACAGTACAAAATTAAGAATAATTACAACTTATTTATATTACCTACACTTAAAAACATTTTACAAATATACAGGCTTACTCGTCGCTGAGATACACGACATCGGTATGATGTGTGTGTGTGTATGTACGATACCAGTTATGCATCACACTGTAAAAATATTAAAACTTCAGAGGCTAATTTATTACGTTCGAGACATCCAATCGATATGTCTCTTATAGATTCGTCTTGCAGACATTAAAATCAATAAAAAAATATGTTCCTCGCGTGTATACCTACGATACATGATCTTGTAAGAATTTGGACATCTCTGAATCAGTATGGTGGCTACTTAGAGACGCTGAAATTATGGCGTGGTCTTAATCGGGAATGAAAAAGAATTTTCTTCCATTAAAGCAAAACATTACCTTTGAGCTCGTAAGACAACAAGTCATTACAAAAATGACACTTTAAATTCAATATGGCCTGCAGTTCGAGACGCCACATCGGTATGGCATACAATAGAATTACCTGTGTACCCATTCCCCAATAGCGTAGTTTTTGCGACACCTTCAACAAATTGTTTAGCGCGTCGCCGATAGCTACACGCCGCCTCCTCATAACGCAGGCTAACTTTTTAACTTCCCAAACCGCCTTCCTTGTTCCTCATAACACAGGCTAACTTCTCAAAACCATTCAGCTATGAGCTTATTGCACTTCGAGTTTCTTACTGGCTCCAAGCATGTAAATTTTAATATTGTAATATGACGAACACTCTTTTAAACATTAAGTGAAATTGCTCTGTTCTTGAGAAGAAAGCTACAAGTTTGTGTGCAAGTGTGAATAATCAGGGTGGTTGCACGCACATTTTTACGCTTACGCATAAGGAGTGTACGGTGAAATATTAGAACAGTATACTGTGAAAAACGCAAATAGTCAATGTCGAAGGTTCCATTTCTACTCACGATCATGGTACTCTTCTTCCTCATCCCATCACAAACGCTGTCTTAGGGCTTATTTATCTCGAGATAACGTGAAGATCACGTCAAGCATTCACTAGAAATACACAATCTAGTGTGTGCAATCGTACTACACAAGTTGGAATCGACAATCTGCCATCATAAAAACACCGTAACTACCACCAGTCTACACGAAATATTTCTGCTTGTCGGTCTAAGTCTGACTCGTTTCATTTCCTGATCTACAGTGCGAGAGGCAAGAAATATGAGAACAGAAGAAACAACGCAGTTATCAGAAAGACAATGGAACGTGCCTTTCGAATCAAGCCATGGAAGCTTTGTATTGCGAAAGTAGACATCGAGACCAAGACTACACACGTGGGCAATGGTTTCAAAACGGCGAAGAGAGCAAGGACCTATATTTCAACATGCTCTTGGGGCTTCCGGTGCTGAGGAAACGATCCACATCTAACGTTTCCGGCGTTCGGAGGAAGGCTGGTGGATGACAATTTCTCGAAGGCTGCGGCCGCGTAGGCGACGAAATCGCCGTTGAGCGGAAACGGAAGCTCGAGCTGGAGTTGTGATAGATGAGGTAATGGCAGAAAGAATGACGTGAGCGTTGGCAGCAATAATTACAGCAATATATCTTGCCGGGATTATTAACGAAACGTAATACTGACTTGTACATATTGCGAAAGTGATGTAAGTGGGGTATTAACCGCGTCTCTAAGCAACCGTAAAACAGATCCGAACTATCTGTAAGCATTTCCTCCATGGTGCATTCCACAAGTTTGTAGTTGATTCGTGAGTATCTTTTAATTCGAAAATACTAAATTATAGAAGATGAATATTTTATGTTTAATCTTCAAGTATATCAAGGAAACCAATTCATCTCAACCCAGTATTCATTACAATATTGCTGATGGAATATGTCATCTTGTCATTTACAGAACAACTGTGTGACACGTGTTTTAGCGGGACACACAGTTGTTTTCTAATCAATGCAGCTGTAGTATAAACTTTATTTTATATTAATTTGATTTTTTAACAACAATTTAAATCCAGTTTTAATGGGTAAATGATGATTTCTGTCTCCTCTCCAGCTGGATGGTGAGATCCAGTGCCACCTACAGACCGGTTTCCGGGGATTTCCCCCTCCAGGTATTTCCCCCTAGAGGGGCATAGCTCGAGTCGGGGGCAAGCTCTAGTCTCCCGACTGGTCTGTCGTCGTGTGGTAGTGTAGTGGTAATAAACAGGTATAGGTGTGTTTATGATCAGAAAATAGGGCAAGGAAGAGAAAGGGTAGATCGCTCTCGGTCCATGGCCCTTCTATTAGGGTACTCCTTCGTCCAATATTGATCGGCGGAACCACGGAAAACCACCGATCAGGGTGGCTGCTAAAATTCTTTTCCAGACAGCTGCTGAATTCGACCTCGCTATTTATCTAATGTCGAAAATCCGCCACCCTCGCGATTCAAACCCTAGGGCTTCCGCGTCAGAGTCGCTGTAAAGGCAGAGGAAATGCTGATGCTGAGCTAAACTTGGCCTGTTTTAAAGGATAAAAGACGATTAATTATTAAAACACTATCACCAGTGGCGGATTTACGGAAAAGGGCCGGTCAACAAAAACACTTCAGAAAATCTGGGCCTGTTTTGTTGATATAACATTTTGATCCGTTTTACAACTTTTTTACTTTCTCGCTTACCACGTTCTTACACAGTAAACAGAAAGTACTGCAACCCTGCGGCGGACAGTGGTGAATTTCGTCAGAAAACTCGTGTTGTGGGACCCCAAAATCAAACAAGTGGAATCATTTGTTCCTCTAAATTCTAATTTCTAACGTGATGTAGCCATGTTTGTTTATGGCAAAACGTCCCTCACTCTCTCTGCAGCCCATCTCTCCGTCGTCCGTCTGTCCGGTATTTTCGGTATTATGGTTTTTCTGAGTACATGAGTTAGAGAAAATAATTTACTACATATAGGGACAAGATTTATCATTTTTTTCGGTATCCGGGCTCCACAATACAAGTTTTTCTAACGATTCGCCACTTTCCACTGCAGGATTAATTTTCTCTTTTCTACGTAAGTACAAACTAGGTAAGAAAGTAAAATGTACTATGAAAATTAAATTATTTAATTTATTATAGTATCAAGTTTGTTTGTTTGGTCGAGTGTGGGCCTCCATAACTGTGATTGAGATATTTCCTGGCATCAAACCAGAAGTAATGAATGAAAGTGTTGACTCCCCTGCTTTAACACCCTACGTTAATAATTATTGTTGAGGATAAGGTTTCTGAAACACAAATTATTTAGATGAAGGGAACATTAAAGAATTTGATGACAGATAAGGACAAACGTAAAGTGGAATTTGGATCTTGTACACTAATTTCTAGGTGTCTCGAGAAGCAAGCAACAGACAGTTATGTATCCTTCATATTAAATCTAATACAAAAAATCGAAATTATTTGAAGACTTTTACATGGAATGATAAAATTCGAAAATAATAGTGCCGCTTAGGCAACTCGTAAAACAATTCTGGAGATTGCGAGAAAAAATCGATAAATTTTAGGAATTCCTTTAGCTTCAAAAATACAATCCAATTCCATTAACAGAAAATGAAATTATAATTGTTAAGCAAATAGCTGACAGCATTACTACTGATGTACCTTTAGGAGACTACTTCACATTTTGTCAATAGCAAATCGATTTTTGGTGGCCAAGGTGAAAACAAAAATATGATCAAGGCACGTTAATTAGGCCCGACCCTTCTCAGAGAAGAGAAATGAGAAAATTCTAGATAGGAAGAACGACTCTTGGATGCTTCATGGGTGGGGGTGGGGTGGGGGAACAGCTGATGGTACAAGGAGAGAGCAGGGTAGTAGTGACAACGGCAGTGGCAAGAATGGCGAGCAGTGAAATAGAGACGACGCCGCCTTTGGAGATACGCACGAGAACAATAAAAGTAGTGATGATAACGCCAACAGAAGTGAGTAATGGCAGAGGCGAAACCGCAGCGGAAACTCAACGAGCGAGGGGCACGCCACGTCGGTCGAAGGGAAGGAACGGCAGGCTGTTCGGCCGCCCTACGGCGAACCAATCGAACGCAATATTTGTAGAGTGATGGGGTCGCTGCATTCAGGTGCTCATAGAAGCGTCGTCGGCGCGACGCGGCATACACAACTGTCCAGGGCACCTCTTCATTTGCTTGATTAAACAAATGATTACTTTCGACTTCCAAGTATCCCAATAAATAGCAGGAACGCGGACACGTGATGTGTACTTCGACGTAAGGAAAGGAACAAGAAAGAAACCAATGGTGCTGCAGAAATGCAAAGACTTTCACGTGTAGTTAATTTCCTTTTCTCTGGAGACTGAGCTAGATTTTCCACATTTTCTCAAGACATTTTTTCCACATTTTCTCAATTTTTTTTCGGTTTCCTCAAAGTAGAATTAAAACATTACTTCAAAATTTTCTTCTTTAGAAAACAGCATTTGAACGTTTCTGAGAACGCGAAATTTTAGAGCTCATTTTCGGAGAAAAATTTAATTTTAAGCACTTGAACCCACAAATGCAATAATGTTCACAAATTGCCGATCATGTAAATAATAATGACGTGAGAGATATTTAAAAAATACATTTGAATAATTTTTGAAGGAAAAAATATAGCAAAAAGGGATTTGTGTCATCGTATACAATGCATTAAGCACTATCCCCAGAAAAAGTTTTAAAAGGATAATTGCAGCGGTGATTGAGAAAATCTTCTTTGTAATATCTTTTTTTAAAAATATTTCCCATATTTCAAACACAATTGTTCGAAAACTATTAACATTTTAAAAAACGTGTACATGAGGTTAATGAAAGAACTAATTGCGGAGAACAATCATTTTGGAAAATATTCTACTAGTAGTTTAGGAATTAGTGTAGTTCACAGAGGGATGCAGGGGCGGCCGGACGGGCGGATGAGCTGGCGGACGATACAGCGGACGGACCGGTACAGACGGAAAAGCAGACACGCGGAGAGACAGACAGGCCGATAGTTTAAATTGAGCATTCATTATTTATCTATTTGCATCGATGAGATTGTGGTAATGATTTTGTTGGATGCCTAACTCGACAAAACTAACTTTAATACATGAAAAGCTTGATGAAAGCGTTGCACATTTACGAATGGAAATGTAGGATGATCGCGCCAAATTGACGGCCGGTATTGAAATATTATCACAAGAAAATGTACATGTACATGAACACGATCATGGATGTTCATTTCAAATCGTCCGTTATGTAAAATGGGAGATTCTATTGATTGTTTCATGATATTTATAATCAGTAACAGTGACGTCCTTCTGGGAAGAGGTCACTGAATAACACCCGCAAGGCTCTCTAGAAAACGAAGGAAAGTGTTTTCTTAATGTAAGAAGATTTTGTTCTTCATGCATTATATTCTTGAATATTAGATCTTTAAATGTTTTCCTGTACAATTTTTGTTGTACAAATACGAGTCATTTTGGGGTAATTTTTAACCCAAATGTGACAATTTTCCACAAAAACATACACAAGATTTTATCAAAAAGAACTGCAATTAATGTCTTTATACTTTTTGTAAAGTACAGTTCAATAAATACCATGTCATTTCCGCTATTTCATATAAACTTTTTAATTTAGAAGAATTTAAAGTGTGTTTTTTTCAAATGCCTCTTCTGTGCTTCCAGAAGAGATTTTCAAGAGATAGGTGAAGTAAAATATCACACAATACAATATTATAATGTAACATAACTTCTACAAATAACACGAGAAAGTATATGAAATATTACTACTAGATTGTGTAAATTTTTCTAGAGCTTCTTAATAACTGGAAAGGGGCAAAGTAAGAAATGTTTTGAATGAATTCAGAGATTTGCATCAATCTGGTGGATTAAAAATATCAGAGGTCCGTATTTATTCAAATAGATAAATAGTCTGTGTATTCGGTGAGTAATTCCTAAATGTTTCTATAGAGAATTATTTTTCTTCCACTTTGGAATAGTAAATACGTTACAGTACCCGCTAATAATAAATTTACAAAATCGCTTGCCGAAAAAGAAGCAAGTAAAATCTGAAAAAAAAAGAAAAAAAAGCCTAATCGCTTCTTTTAAATTAATTTCATTTACAAAATCACATCAGTCGCAAAAGATATTTGAATCGAACTGGGAATTTTATAAACACAAACAAAACAATGTATTCTTGGAGAGAAACAACACCAATTTTTGAAAGAACGTTCTTCAACGAGAGTGACTCGACGGGGTGATGGTGTGGGAGGAGTACTCACGGCGTTCTCGGGCAGCCGCTCGATGTTCTCCCACTGCACGGAGGGCCCCTCGTCGCGCAGGAAGCGGTCGAAGAGGCGCGCGAAGCCATCCAGCTGGCCCTGGGCGAGCGCGCGGTGCGCCTCGGGCGCGGAGCCCAGCAGCCGGTCCAGCTCATGCTGCAGCTGCACTTGCGCGTCGCGCTTCGTCAGCTCCTTGAACTCACGCGAGCCCGACGGCGCGCGCTGGTGGCCGCGGATCTGCAACAGAGAGGGCGCGCGCGCCGTCACACACATGCCGCACTGGCGCGCATCCGATGCAAGCGGATTTTTCAAAGGCTCTACCAAGGACAACAATTAAAGTAGTCTTTACAACACAAGAGCTGCTTATTCCAAAGTGACGTATACTCATGAAACGATTTTTAAAGAAGGGAGAGTATTCACATTCAGCCTTGTAGTTCAAAATAGGATACAATGGTTTTTGTATTCTTCTTAACACAGATATTTAACCTTTAAACACAATGCATGGTTTTGGGCATCATGATGGAAAAGCGTCGTAAAAATATATTAATCCTTAAAACTAGAGAACAAACGGAAACGGATACATCACTTTCGAAATGTTTCCTAAAAGACAGTTTACCTTATTTTGTTCATGGCAGTTCATTCATCATTACCTTGAAATGAGTTATCACCTGACTAAGTACTTTCTGACAAGGAGCGTTTCATTTAACTGAATAATGATACACAAACGAGGGTTTCAGCAACAAAAAACTGTTCAAAACAAAAATTAAAAAATTTACAAGTTAATAATTAAATAAACAGGTCATTAACAAAATATCGTAATATTTGTTCACAAAACTCCGATATTTCATTTAAATCCAAACCTCTTGTTCTTTAGCCCGGAATAGACTTGTACGTTCTTCTCATATTTCATTTCTCAGTTGTTTTAATAGGTGAAAATTGCAAACGAATAGGTACTTAACTCCATGATCAGGCTCCAAAGAGCAAAGAAAAAACAGTCATATACGCAAGACGTTAATGAAAATTGACAATTATGAACATAAAGATATTGAAACTTCATTCAAAATGATATACATAATTATATGGAATCTAAAGGAGACTTGACATTTCAGCGAATGAGAAAGTAAGAGACGGAGAAAAGTGGAGAGAACCAAGTACATACTAGAACGGGAATGACACGAAAAAAACATAACGAGAAAAAATGTTATAAAACAGGAAACAAACTTAGGGGACATGACTGCAGTTCTTTCTTCGATAATGGATTGACATGAACCAGCTCAAGAAAATTTCAAGATCCAAACTACATTATTCAAGGAAGCTGTTCTCTTTGCATCAAGTTCTACGACTTCCGAGGGAAAAAATGAAGGCAATGCCACATGTGTTCTTTTGTTGATGTGTAAAACAGCTGTGTCTCACAACCCACTGCAAAACAAGGAAAACATACGGTCGTGCATATATCCTTAGACCAAGCCAAACTTTGACAATGGCTTATCAACATCTATATACTGATCAATCACAATGCAGAGCTACACAGCCTTTTTCTAAAGAGTGTTATATAAATTATAAATCTAAAAATTACATGAGAAGTGAAGCTCCGCGGGTTCGCGACTTTCTCGAGACACTCGTTTCCCCCCGTGCCACTCATTCCACCATTATTGAGGGAGCCGGGGGAACGCGGTGCTAATCCATACGTTTATGTTTGTCAGACAGAGGAAAAATAAAGTTTTAGTACAATGACACGAGTATTATTTTCTGTACACACTTCTGGCTGCTTTCTACATACACATACTGCAGTTCCATGGACAAGTTTGTTCAGCATTTCGTTCATAATGTTTTACAAGACAGTCTAATACTTTTCATTCATGAAGTGAGGGTTAGCACTATCTTCTCCCGATTACTTCAATTCATTATTCTATAGTCATATCGCGACAAACAATATAATCACCAATCACTCAAAATCATTCATACACTCCAGCCATTACTATAAAGCTTAAAAACATGCAGAATTGGAATCATGCTATTGTGTAGTTTCGCTGTACTGTTCCTCAGGTACAGTTCGTAACTATAGGTGTTATGCGATGGTTGCGGTGCATTATATCAATATTATGCGTTTTTTCCTTGTCATATCAAGAAAAACACTACTTGTGATTACTACAGTTTTAACACTAGAAAAGGGAAAAGAAACGGAGCGTAATTCAGGTGTGAATTTGTTTCGTGATATGACCGTATAGGCGAGGGGGAAAAACCTGGTCCAGTTACAGACGTTCGTTCTAGTCAACTTTAAATACGATACCAACGTACGATCGAAAAATGCACAACTTCTGGACTAAAATATAAACTAGTCCTAAACAATTCCATTTCCATTCAAGTTATATCTTCACACTTAAACGGGGCAGAACACCTAAGAGAGACCTACATTTTTAATAAAAGCGTTGAGAGCATATTCAGTGTAGTTAATGTATGTAAAACTAGCTTCCTATTAAAATAATAATACGAATTTTTTGGGAAACATTGCTTAATCATAACGCGAAATTCTCAAATTAGCAATAAATATAACAGAATTACAATATCTTGTGAAGTTTATCTTATCCTCTTAATCATTCGTATCAATACTACGCTAAAATACATTTACATGTCAATACGAAAATAAAACACAAAACAGATTATGTTAAATCTCACAGTGATATACGTCAATAACTACGGCACTACATACCAATATCAATTACCTATTGACAGGAATAAGAAATACAGAGAATACGTGGTTCCTCTGAGACACCTATTCACCTACATTATCCTACTGCACTTACAACTTGAATCATAGAGAAACGAAGATACACTCCTTTCTCTATGATTAAACAACATCATATAACAAAATTTCGACAAGATAAAGATAAGAAAAGAAATGACTAATGTCATGAAATATACCATCACTTCATATTCAGTAAAATCACCCTCAGACCACCACACGCCAAATCAACCAATCCTTTCTCTCAAAGTTTATTTTCTAACACTCAAAATCGTTGTGCGTAATAGGCTGCACACACAAGATAAAACCAGAGACCGAATTCGATAACGGGAAGGAAATAACTTTCTGAGGTCGATGGAGATGTCGCCATGCCCCACACTGTCCACGCGGGGAGGCGAACTGGCACAGCTCGGCTCAACCATTGATGCTGGCACGCGGCCAAATGCGCTCCACAATAATGTTTAAGTGACCGGTCCGGACAGCTAGCTGGGAACGACGTGGGTACATTCGTCACAAATGCGTAACATACTATACGTAGTGTGGGTACATCAAAATAATTTAAGAAAGTAAATAGCCTTTATGCAAAGGTGGCAGCAGTGTAGTTCGATTCGATTTGTTTCAAGAAAGCGACAAGTACCCTTAATGATGGTAGTTTCGACAGGCCTTCTCCGAACTCTATCAAACATTACATTTTAAGTTGACTTACTAAGTTAAGTGAAAAAGAAATTGGAAAAACAATTTATGGCAATTAATCGCGAGATATAACAGCGAACTTTTATCACCATATTAATGACAATAATAATCCATATTTTGAAATGTGGAAGTTAGAGAGTATTTAATAATACAAGACTAATTATTAATATTATTAGTATTTAGTCCCAACGTTGCGTAAACGCAACATTTAATATTCATATTTTTTTTACAAAAACGATTACTTATAAAATTGTTTTGAATCATTATCGCATTAACGTACTTTTTATTCATATCCGAGCATACATTTGGCTTCGTTGAATTTTGAAACTTGGAGATAATGTATTGAATGTAGTAAAGTCTGGAGTACCGATAATCAATTTTTAATTTAATTATTAAACAATACTTGTTTTTGTATTATAACACTCAACAAACTGACTTGAACCTGCTTTTATCATTTCAGAATATTTATTATGTAGATAAGTAGTTACATATCTTATTATTAATAATTTACTAGAATGTTGTGTTTACGCAACGTTAGGATTTGTGGGGTGTATGGTCTGAACCATATACCCCACATATGATAGAACAAATGCAATTGGAATATAATAATTGGGGAAAAGACATGTAACTACTGTTTCATATTTCCACTCTGATATAATTATCTCACATTGGCGGTACTGTCTTATCCTGCATTGTTGAATTATTGTATAAACAATGCTTCAAGCGTAATTACTGATCCTCAACAAAAATTTTGCTTATTTCGGGAATGACAGAAGAAAATAAAGGCCTCAATCAACTGCTGGTCTTATTTCTGGAGGAAGATGCTGATCTTATTTCTAGAAATATGATGGATGCTGTGCACATTCTCCTAAATTTGACGAAATGACAGATAAGGAAAATATAGAGATCTTCTAGACGAAAAAGAAGTCGAAGAAAATTTGACTGTGAAATTGTTAACTCATGGAAAATTTGCGAATGAAGAAAAGACGTCAAACTATAATTTCGCTCATACTTAACTCTGACTCTAATGAAATCTGAAGTCTGTGCAAAAGGAAGTGAATGCAATATTGAGTAAATAAAAATACAGGAGACTGAAAAATCCCATTTTTGATCGACCCATAAGCCCTTGCAACCTAAAGAAGAACGTTATGATGTACGAATAACTACAGGGATGGCTCAGGGCATAAATTTGTCACTGCAGTGCCTCTGACGTGATCATTCCTTCCTCAACCTTGTCCTATCCTCATCCGTTACTTGCACCATTACACTCTTACTTGCGCTACACTACCGTACTTGCCGTGAGACCGGCCGGGAGCTAAGAGCTTGTTCCGATTGAGGTGATGCCACTCTAGTGGGAGATACCCGGTTGGGGAAACCCGCAAACCGCCAGGTAGGTCGGCGTTGGATCTCGCTACCCAAAAGGGGAGAAAAACCGACACCTCCCGCGCTAAAAACATGCATTACATTCAATCAATCATGATGCAGATTGATTGTAAAGGAAGAAACCAAAGCCAGGAGGAGGTGCAGATTGTGCAAAAACACTGCTGTTTTCATACGTAGAAAATGCTATGTTCATCTCCATTCATACTGTTTTCAGACGTCTCTTGTCAAGATGAACTGATAGACCCTAAGATCCCAAAGTTGCGTATACGCAATATTTTGTTGTACATTGACTATTGGTTTGAAAAATTATAAATAAGATTTTTTATTCTTTCTAGTTTAATATTAGAGTAAATAGAAAATATTATTTTTAAAAAATATTATTTCAATCCTTGGTCATTAATGGGTTAATTTATCTATAACTCCCACATTTCAAAACATGGATGTTCAAAATTAAATCATCATGTTTGGTTGGCGATGTCCCATCCCTAGTTCAAAATACTTGTTTGGTTTTGTATTTTGGGCTTTCTTAATTTTTTTTTTTGCTAAATAAATACCCTAGAAATGCAGAATAATTCTGAACCCATTGCTGACGCAAAAGTTAAAATTAAAAACCAAACTTCTATGTAATTTATGTATAGGAAAAATCTCAGAACAATATACCTAAAACGCGACACACCACAATCAGGCAAGAAGAGAATCGCTCTAATTTCCATGTATTAGACACGTTCATGATTTGTCGGCACACACAAATTACCTAACACAATTGCTTCTCAGAAGCATCCACTCTAATACTTCAAACCAACTTGAGCAGCCGATACAATACAATAATGCACATCATTTTAACAGAACTCCCGCGCTTGACCGCGATCAAACCAATCACTGTTGTCCAGCGGCGCGCGACTATCGCCACCCACTATCTCCGCTGTCGTGTCGCCGGCGCGGGTGTGAAGGCTCGGGGCCACCAGGAGCGCGGGGGTGGCAGATGCAGACCTTGCCGTAGCGTGGGTCAGCTGGGGTGGCGCCGCGGACCGCAGGGTTGAGCACCGTCCAACGTGGCGGCGCGGCGACGCCCACGGCGGGGCCCGGCGACGTGGTGGAGTCGGCCTCATCGTGCTTCGTGGCCACCATGGCACACACGCGGCGTCGACGGCGGCAGCAGCAGCGGAGAGAACGACGACGTTCGCAGCGGAGGCGCGGGCGACTGGGGCGAGCGACGCGCGGGCGGGCGACCCACCGACTGGCGGCCGGCGCCTCGGGGATAAGATAACAAGGCACGCGCGCAAGGGCGCAAGCGGAGCGACGGGTGGGGGCGCCTGGGAGGGGCCGCCAGGGGCGGGGAGGGGGGCGACGGCGGCGTCGCAAGCGGCTAAAGAGCGCGCGCACCACGAGGTTCGAGAACGGGAAGTGGAGGAGCGATTCGGATCGTCAGAGCATAGGCGGAGATCTGTACGTTTTATGTTGACTGTCGAGGGAGAGGGGGGCGAATGACAATCACACGTCCAGACTAACGAGCCCGGTATGCCCAATGAGATTCACGACCTCTTTGAGAATGAAAGTAGCCGCAATAAAAGTATTTTGCAGAAAGTGATGGTGCAGTGGCGATGAGATGGATGGATAATGGAGATTACAGAGTGGTTAGTGCTGGGAGACTTATGGGAGAAAAACTTATCACGTACGATATGCGTATTGGAAAGCTCAATTTAAAAATTTAACTGTAGAAGAAGGGAAAAAAAATTGCAAAATTTACAGAGCAAAAGTAGTATTTCATAATGATCCTTTTTGCTATCGATTTATATAAAATCTTGTACGTTTCTGTCAGTTATTTTAAAAGCATGGCAAAAACCGATTTTGAAATATGCTTTTCGTGTAACGGGGTTTTTCCTTTCCCTTTCTCCGAACGAATAATCCCTCCAAGAATTCCGTGCCGCACTTCCCGGAGGTAAAGCCGGCTTTTGGCAGGCAGCGCACCGGCCGGCCGGCCGGCCGGCCGCCGGGCCGTGGTCGCCTGCCTTCGGACGCCCATCCGCATGGCCGCGCTGACTTCACACGGCAGCGGCGAAGGTCGCCTTCACTGCGCCGCGCCGCGCCGCGCCGCGCCGCGCCGCGCCGGGCCCGCGGGCGCCACACGTCACGTAACCATGACGCAGCGCGGCTGGGGCTTCGACTGCGGCGGCTTCGGATGATGCAAAACGCGCCGCAAGCCACTCCGCCACGCGCAACAGGTGGCGGCGGCGGCGGCGGACGGAAGTAGATAAATTCCGCTGGGAATTCTCCAGCACGACTCATGCTCCCGTTTCATTTGGCACAATCCTGCTGAATTTTATAGAGAGATCCAAAAGATCGATCCGAGTCCAGGCCGACTATTTACGTGTCGAAGAATAACGTATTTCACTTCTATAAATGAACCATGCTTAATTCATTTTTTACTCTAATGGATGTTATTGAAAATTATTGACGCAATGTGTAGCACATCGAGATAACACGTATCAAATCACTCGTGTAGTAGTCACTCAGTTACACTTTTGAGTTCATGAGTATGGGTTTACTACAATGTAATTTACGTCATAGAGAAAAAGCTTGTTGAAATATATTAAATGAGCAATCTAAAACGGATATTAGATTGTGTTTAAGAAATCTCTAGTTCAATAAACTCCTCACTTTCTTCGGAACGTCAAGTTAAGAGAATTATTGTGAGGTGCATCACACCATTGCATTTGACCACCAGAAAGTACAAAATACGGTGTTCATTTAGAACTCAAAGTACAAATATGTGTTGTATCAACTTCCACGCGAGTTGTAAATTGAGGATTTACGGATGTTCTTGTCTTTCGCAGTCTTGGTGTGAAGCTGCATTAAAGCATTCGCGTCGATTTAGTTATATTCTGATATAATATTTGAAACGAAATATTCTCGCACGTCAGTATCTCACCAAAAGAAAGTTTGCTTAAGTAGGTGCAAGTTCCTCAAATTCTACTCGCCCTAAAATGTCGCTGACGCAGCATTTTACGTAAGTGAAAATATGTAAGACTACGAGAAGATTTATTTTCTTATTCAACAGAATACGTCATTAAATCATAATGAGTAAAGAAAATATAAATAAAGGCGAATGAAGTTCAATATTCCACTTATACAATAATTTGGAAGGCAGGATATGTAATTTATAAATAGGTATCTCATGCTGATTCTGAAAAATAATTCATTTAATTTTTGCAAATAATATACGAGCGCGACGTGACAAGTTGCAATTGTTTTATGTACAATAGGACTGAAACGTGCTGGCTGTTCGCCGGCATATATTTCGCATTGGCACAGGAAGATCTTCCACCTGATGTAGTCCTGGCAGCCCACAAGTTCAATATGAATAATGTATGTATGAATACCTATTGCGGGAGGAAAGAGGAAAGCCTGCGAGAAGAAAATCAATGATAATAAATTGGAGTGGCAATGCCAAGCTGAGCTAATTCCAAGATCAATTATCAATCACAATATTATACGTTATGTTCACGTATCTAAGCTAATCAATAATCAACGAATCTCTGCCCTTAGTGGAGCGGGTAGAATATGAAGTTTTAAATGAGAAATGAACAAGATAATCGCTTAGGTAACCAATATTGAGCTACCTTTAATCCATTATTAATGCCTCGTATCGAGTTTCTGAAAAAGAGTAGAATAATTTAAACGTCATCACGGTTGCTTCGAGAAATTGATAGTTTAATCGTGACGATTACGATAAGCAATATCTTTTATCAAACGTGTTTCATTAAACCTGTAACCACTCATATGATGGATTCAAAATCTGAAAAATACACATTATGTACAGGGAAATGCGACTAGCATTATCTTCGCAACATCTTCATCATTATCATCTTCTCGCAAAGATTGAATCACCCATCGAAATTAAACTGACGCGAAGATAAAGGTATAGGATTTTTGCAATCATTGGCTCTCCAATAAATAATGCTGCCACAATATGTAACCCCTAAAAGACACTTGATTAGCTTCGCGAAGCATTTTTCCGTAACAACGATGGTTTTTTCAACACCATCCGCTTTGGCCGCCCAGCACCCCGTTGGCAGCCCTACACCAAAAGTGTAGGCTTGAAATGAACATGGTCTCCAAATACTCGTTTCAGAAACTGAGGACTCGTTCAACCTACATTTTAATGAAGCAAAATCATCGCTTAGACGCTGTCAGCTCCTTGGCAGAAGCGGAAAAAATCCATGGTCTACTCGCTACACCAATAAGAATGGCAAGTTGTGAAGGGACTAAACTGAAAAGAAAGAGAACTATTCTAATTCACGTTTCCTAAAACATTCGTAAAAACTTCACAGTTAGGTTTAGTCACTACTTCTGTAGTGACCTTACAATGACTGTCGAAGACCCTTTTTATTTACACCTCTAACTTCTATTATCGCGTCGAACTTTGTTAAAAAAAACTTGACGTAGAATAAGCTTTCCAACATAGAAAATCAATTGCAATGCAGGTACGAAACAACACTTTCAATTTCAAACTGGTAAAATTACAGAAGAGAAACAACCGCGAATAAAATTATTTTAAGAAATAACTTTTCAACGGAAATATTCTTAAAATTCGGTAGGGTACGGTAGGTACAGAATATTCTATACTTTTCCCCTCTTTTTCGGAAAAAGTACTGCAAGCAATTAAAGGAGTAATACAATTGTAAATCATTCTACACTATGTGACTGATTAGGATGAATTACAACGTAATAACAAGTTATAGACTTAAATGACGAGAATCTTCGTGAAACTCATTACAAAAATGCCAACGCTTCATAAAATTCAAACCAATACTCTCATACGATATGCATACATGAAAGTAAAAGTATGGGAAGTTTAAGGCAATAAAATATATATTTAGAATATTAACGTATCATCCTGATGTCATTAATTTCATACATGTCTAGAAACAATATTCACAGAAGCTCACTATGTCGCGCTCGTCATGAAAGAAAAAAAACACCGAATTAAAAAAGCAGCCTTTTGAAAAAATAATCAAACGTAAAGGGTACTATATAATAAGAATATTAAAAAAATTACCGCACTAATACCAAACAATATGTGCAATTATACATTTTTTTAAGAATGTGGCGTTCGCAGAAGTGTAAATTTAACAATTTTTTCGTAGCTGAGTTTTCCCATATCAAGGCAACATCTGGTCGTTGCACTGTATATTTCGACAAGTGTATGTTGTAAGCAAAACCCAGAAAAAGCTGGAGTTCTTCTGAGTGACATAAATATCTTAGATTAAGAAACATGATACACTTGTATTTAAAGACAAATTTATTCTTGAATCTAATTTATAAATTATCAAGAGTTTTTCTATTAGCTTTCTCAATCACACAAAAGGACCGATTTTGCCTTTGCAAACCATCACTAGGATTTAGATAAGAACAGTTTAACGTCTACCTTACTGTCTAGTACGATACCCAATATGCAAAACCAGATGTATGCACGAAAAAAAAAATCATCGGAAAACATAATTAATTCCAAATTATGAAATTAAGCCCATATTTTGCTCTCGTAAAATAAAAATGTTCTTATTTAAATATTAACAGGCAAGAGGGCCAAAACACTGAAACATGGGACCATGGGACTAAAGTGTATAAAATTCACAAGGTGCTGCAACACTTGCCGGCATTGATTAAATGCAGATGTATGAGTATAGTATTCTTTTATTACAATAATAATAATAATAATAATAATAATAATTATTATTATTATCATTATTATATTGGAGGTAACATTATTATAATCAGTATTATAACTACAATACAATGATTTCCACCATTTATGTAGACCCACTTTTGATTCTAACCATGCTACGAAAATTTGTTAATTATATTTCCTACATAAAGTCTACACTGCTTAAATGCAGAATTTCAGAATGATGACACATTATTATACTTTTCATCAGAGGCAGCGAAAATTGTGAGCCTTCATACAATTCGGGTGAGAAATAGGTAACTAAAGAAAAAAATGACTTCAAAATAAACGTAAATAAACGTGGCGTTTTCCAAATAAATATAAACACGAAAGTAAGTAATAAAGGCAGGGTGGCATCTTCCTTCAATTTGCGTATGAATAAAAACTCGAGTAAAAAGCAGGA